ATACATCCCCAACAGATATCAGCTCACCAAAGTCAGGATCCAGGGAGAAAACAAACATTTCAGTTTTATACCCAAAATGGCCAAAATCTGAAAAGTTTTCCATATCCGCGGTAATCAAAAATACTGATTTTTGGCCCCAAAATCCAAATTCACGAAATTTGGTCAAATGTTCACAAAGGTGGGGAGGGGTCAGCAATTCATCCCCAAGAGATATCAGCTCACCAAAGTCAGGATCCAGGGAGAAAACAAACATTTCATTTTTTTACCCAAAATGGCCAAAATCTGAAAAGTTTTCCATATCCGCGGTCATCAAAAATACTGATTTTTGGCCCCCAAATCCAACTTCACGAAATTTGTTCAAATGTTCACACAAGGTGGGTAGAGGTCAGAAATGCATCCCGAAGAGATATCAGCTCACCAAAGCCAGGATCCAGGGAGAAAACAAACATTTCATTTTTTTACCCAAAATGGCCAAAATCTGAAAAGTTTTCGATATCCGCGGTCATCAAAAATACTGATTTTTGGCTAGGAAATCCAACTTCACAAAATTTGGTCAAATGTTCACACAAGGTGGGTAGAGGCCAGAAATGAATCCCCAAGAGATTTCAGCTCACCACAGTCAGGCTCCAGGGAGAAAACAAACATTTGAGTTTTTTACCAAAACGGCCAAAATCTGAAAAGTTTTCCATATCCGCGGTCATCAAAAATACTGATTTTTGGCCCCAAAATCCAAATTCACGAAATTTGGTCAAATGTTCACAATAGGTGGGAGGGGTCAGCAATCATCCCCAAGAGATTTCAGCTCACCAAAGTCAGGATCCAGGGAGAAAACAAACATTTCATTTTTTTACCCAAAATGGCCAAAATCTGAAAAGTTTTCCATATCCGCGGTCATCAAAAATACTGATTTTTGGCCCCAAATCCAACTTCACGAAATTTGTTCAAATGTTCACACAAGGTGGGTAGAGGTCAGAAATGCATCCCGAAGAGATATCAGCTCACCAAAGCCAGGATCCAGGGAGAAAACAAACATTTCAGTTTTTTACCCAAAATTGCCGAAATCTGAAAAGTTTTCGATATCCGCGGTCATCAAAAATACTGATTTTTGGCTAGGAAATCCAACTTCACAAAATTTGGTCAAATGTTCACACAAGGTGGGTACAGGCCAGAAATGAATCCCCAAGAGAATTCAGCTCTCCACAGTCAGGCTCCAGGGAGAAAACAAACATTTGAGTTTTTTACCAAAAACGGCCAAAATCTGAAAAGTTTTCGATATCCGCGGTCATCAAAAATACTGATTTTTGGCTAGGAAATCCAACTTCACAAAATTTGATCAAATGTTCACACAAGGTGGGTAGAGGCCAGAAATGAATCCCCAAGAGATTTCAGCTCACTACAGTTAGGATCCAGGGAGAAAACAAACATTTGAGTTTTTTACCAAAAACGGCCAAAATCTGAAAAGTTTTCCATATCCGCGGTCATCAAAAATACTGATTTTTGGCCCCAAAATCCAACTTAACGAAATTTGATCAAATGTTCACACAAGGTGGGTAGAGGCCAGAAATACATCCCCAACAGATATCAGCTCACCAAAGTCAGGATCCAGGGAGAAAACAAACATTTCAGTTTTATACCCAAAATGGCCAAATTCTGAAAAGTTTTCCATATCCGCGGTCATCAAAAATACTGATTTTTGGCCCCAAAATCCAACTTCACGAAATTTGTTCAAATGTTCACACAAGGTGGGTAGAGGCCAGAAATACATCCCCAAGAGATATCAGCTCACCAAAGTCAGGATCCAGGCAGAAAACAAACATTTCAGTTTTTGAGCCAACATGGCCAAATTCTGAAAAGTTTTCCATATCCGCGGTCATCAAAAATACTGATTTTTGGTCCAAAAATCCAACTTCACGAAATTTGATCAAATGTTCACACAAGGTGGGTAGAGGCCAGAAATACATCCCCAAGATATATCAGCTCACCAAAGTCAGAATACAGGCAGAAAAGAAAAATTTCAGTTTTTAAGCCAACATGGCCAAAATCTGAAAAGTTTTCCATATCCGCAGTCATCATAAATACTGATTTTTGGCCCAAAAATTCAACTTAACGAAATTTGATCAAATGTTCACACAAGGTGGGTAGAGGCCAGAAATACATCCCCAAGAGATATCAGCTCACCAAAGTCAGGATCCAGGGAGAAAACAAACATTTCAGTTTTATACCCAAAATGGCCAAATTCTGAAAAGTTTTCCATATCCGCGGTCATCAAAAATACTGATTTTTGGCCCCAAAATCCAACTTCACGAAATTTGGTCAAATGTTCACACAAGGTGGGTAGAGGCCAGAAATACATCCCCAAGAGATATCAACTCACCAAAGTCAGGATCCAGGCAGAAAAGAAAAATTTCAGTTTTTGAGCCAACATGGCCAAAATCTGAAAAGTTTTCCATATCCGCGGTCATCAAAAATACTGATTTTTGGTCCAAAAATCCAACTTCACGAAATTTGATCAAATGTTCACACAAGGTGGGTAGAGGCCAGAAATACATCCCCAAGAGATATCAGCTCACCAAAGTCAGGATCCAGGCAGAAAAGAAACATTTCAGTTTTTGAGCCAACATGGCCAAAATCTGAAAAGTTTTCCATATCCGCGGTCATCAAAAATACTGATTTTTGGCCCAAAAATCCAACTTCACAAAATTTGATCAAATGTTCACACAAGGTGGGTAGAGGCCAGAAATACATCCCCTAGAGATATCAGCTCACCAAAGTCAGGATCCAGGCAGAAAACAAAAATTTCAGTTTTTGAGCCAACATGGCCAAAATCTGAAAAGTTTTCCATATCCGCGGTCATCAAAAATACTGATTTTTGGCTAGGAAATCCAACTTCACAAAATTTTGTCAAATGTTCACACAAGGTGGGTACAGGCCAGAAATGAATCCCCAAGAGAATTCAGCTCTCCACAGTCAGGCTCCAGGGAGAAAACAAACATTTGAGTTTTTTACCAAAAACGGCCAAAATCTGAAAAGTTTTCCATATCCGCGGTCATCAAAAATACTGATTTTTGGCCCCAAAATCCAACTTCACGAAATTTGGTCAAATGTTCACACAAGGTGGGTAGAGGCCAGAAATACATCCCCAAGAGATATCAACTCACCAAAGTCAGGATCCAGGCAGAAAAGAAAAATTTCAGTTTTTGAGCCAACATGGCCAAAATCTGAAAAGTTTTCCATATCCGCGGTCATCAAAAATACTGATTTTTGGCCCCAAAATCCAACTTCACGAAATCTGGTCAAATGTTCACACAAGGTGGGTAGAGGCCAGAAATACATCCCCAAGAGATATCAGCTCACCAAAGTCAGGATCGAGGCAGAAAACAAAAATTTCAGTTTTTGAGCCAACATGGCCAAAATCTGAAAAGTTTTCCATATCCGCGGTCATCAAAAATACTGATTTTTGGCCCCAAAATCCAACTTCACGAAATTTGGTCAAATGTTCACACAAGGTGGGTAGAGGCCAGAAATACATCCGCAAGAGATTTCAGCTCACCAAAGTCAGGATCCAGGGAGAAAACAAACATTTCAGTTTTTACCCAAAATGGCCAAAATCTGAAAAGTTTTCCATATCCGCGGTCATCAAAAATACTGATTTTTGGCCCCAAAATCCAACTTCACGAAATTTGGTCAAATGTTCACACAAGGTGGGTAGAGGCCAGAAATACATCCCCAAGAGATATCAGCTCACCAAAGTCAGGATCGAGGCAGAAAACAAAAATTTCAGTTTTTGAGCCAACATGGCCAAAATCTGAAAAGTTTTCCATATCCGCGGTCATCAAAAATACTGATTTTTGGCCCCAAAATCCAACTTCACGAAATTTGGTCAAATGTTCACACAAGGTGGGTAGAGGCCAGAAATACATCCCCAAGAGATATCAGCTCACCAAAGTCAGGATCGAGGCAGAAAACAAAAATTTCAGTTTTTGAGCCAACATGGCCAAAATCTGAAAAGTTTTCCATATCCGCGGTCATCAAAAATACTGATTTTTGGCCCCAAAATCCAACTTCACGAAATTTGGTCAAATGTTCACACAAGGTGGGTAGAGGCCAGAAATACATCCCCAAGAGATATCAACTCACCAAAGTCAGGATCCAGGCAGAAAAGAAAAAATTCAGTTTTTAAGCCAACATGGCCAAAATCTGAAAAGTTTTCCATATCCGCGGTCAACAAAAATACTGATTTTTGGCCCCAAAATCCAACTTCACAAAATTTGTTCAAATGTTCACACAAGGTGGGTAGAGGCCAGAAATACATCCCCAAGAGATTTCAGCTCACCAAAGTCAGGATCCAGGCAGAAAACAAACATTTCAGTTTTTACCCAAATTGGCCAAAATCTGAAAAGTTTTCCATATCCGCGGTCATCAAAAATACTGATTTTTGGCCCCAAAATCCAACTTCACGAAATTTGGTCAAATGTTCACACAAGGTGGGTAGAGGCCAGAAATACATCCCCAAGAGATACCAGCTCACCAAAGTCAGGATCCAGGCAGAAAAGAAACATTTCAGTTTTTGAGCCAATATGGCCAAAATCTGAAAAGTTTTCCATATCCGCGGTCATCAAAAATACTGATGTTTAGCCTAAAAATCCAACTTCACAAAATTTGGTCAAATATTCACACAAGGTGGGTAGAGGCCAGAAATGCATCCCCAAGAGATTTCAGCTCACCAGAGTCAGGATCCAGGCAGAAAACAAAAAATTTCATATTTTTACCGAAAATGGTCGAATTCTGAAAAGTTTTCCATATCCGCAGTCATCAAAAATACTGATTTTGGACCCAAAAATCCAACTTCACGAAATCAAGTGAAATTGTTCACACAACGTGGGTAGAGGCTGGAAATGAATCCCCAAGAGATTTTAGCTCACCAAAGTCAGGATCCGGGAAGAAAACAAACATTTAATGTGTTTTACCAAAATGGCCGAAAACTAAAAACTTGTCCTCACCTGGACCACTTCTGCCTTGCTGGCACCAGCGGATGCAAACATAGCACAGCGGGCGGAGTTGATGACTGGGTAGGTCAAGGTCACTCGACACGGTGGAGGTTTAGGGGAATCATCGATGGGAGCAACTATCAGAGACTCCTCCTATTGGTGGGTAAAATACATTCAATTAAATATTAAGTGTCTTTTCATACTCCTATATAAAAATACAGTGTAGTGTATATATTCAATGAAACAATTCAGAACATTTTGAAATTTTTGTCAATTAAGTGAATTTTGAAACTCTGGAATGACACAATTCAGAAAATTTTGAGATTTTTGTCAATTAAGTGAATTGTTTAAGCTCTGGAAGGAGCTTCTAGTGTGGTCAGTCTGTCTGTCAGTCTGTCTGTCCCCACAAAACTGACCAAAAGTATGGTGTTCCATATGTGCCATCAGCGTTGCATTTTTCGGCGTCGCATTTTTCAGTTCTAGCAAGGATCGTTTTCATTGATTTCATGCAAGACTTTCACGCAAGACTTCTTGCAACACGGCCAGAGCTTATTGTGCACTCGCACTAATTGCGCTGTACAACATCTTCCTCGAACATGGCCATTTTGTGTAGCGGTTGGACGGAAGGAGGAAATGTCCCTAAAAGGTGGGCAGGGTGCGATTTTTCAGCTCTGGCAGGAGCATGTTACTTGGTGGTCAGTCGGATGGTCTGTCTGTCTGTCCTGAATATTGACCAAAGGTATGGTGTTCCATAGGTGCCATCGGCGTCTCATATTTCACTATAGCTTATTGTGCATCGCACTTGCTTTTCTGGTACATAGAGTAAGTTTTGATTTCTTGGTTAGTGGTCTTGGGAAAAAAAGTCACCTTTAACAGCTTGTGGCCAGGGAATAAGGAACAAGTGTGGCCATCAGGTCCCATCCCAAGAACCAGGAGATCAAAGACTGGCAACTTGTCTGCCCCGGAGGGTACAATGCCAACTTTGGCCGCGTAGTCCTTGGCTGCATCAGCGACAGACAGCGACGGATCAATAGGGTAGATCTGACTTTCTGGAAGGTTGACCTTTCCTATCAGTTCCTGTGAAAGAAAGTAGTAATATACCACAGTAATTTAATTATATTTTCTTTTAAAATCATGAACAAATGATGACAATTAACAACAAAACAAATCAGAGTAAGAAGTCCTCCATACAAAATAATGTACAGGTCAAAAACACTTAAATGTTATGCGGTCCAGCTAAATGAGTTGTTTGTCTGGCATTTTCATTTGAAGATTCAGGCTAAAATAGGGCCACTTCATCACATCACTTCATCACATCTCTTGGTGTTCCGACTTCCATAATTTTTTAACTAAAGATGGTGCCAGCATGCGGTTTTCACAGCAGTAGTGCTGAGATTGTGTTCTTTTCAAATCTGTAAAAAAAAAAAATGTCTAGGGTCGAATAACGAATCATTTAGCTTGATCGCATCACAAATGTGCATTTGAGAATTATTTGAATGACTTAATTTTGACTATAACTATAGGCCTATTAAATGTTAGAGTCAATATAGGGAAAATATTCTTAATTTTTTGGGATGAAAAAAGGAAAATTCGAAAATGTCGCTAGCCAGTAGTTCACAAGTTGAACTAGGGATCGCTCACTCATAAAAAATACGCGCTATCCACTCAGCCACAGGTGCTACACAAACGTAGTTTAACCCAAACCATTCTTGATCCTCCAAATTCCCCTTTGTAAATTTAAGTAATTTGCAGGATTGAGCCTACATTGCAAAAGTGTGTCGCTGATTTCGAAGGACGCACTGTGTCAAGGTCTTGGGCCGGACCTTGTGTTGTTAATGCTCCCCAGTGCATAAATTTAGGCCTTGAATACACTTGAAATCCTCCGCACTGCTTCAAGATATCACTGGCTCTGCCTCAACATACTGACAGCGATTGCCGGAGGATTTTGCAGGATTGAGGCAACTGTCACGCTCAAGGACCACATTCAAGAAATAACGGAGGATTTTGCAGGACTGAGGTTACATCTTAGCAAAAAGACCTTGGGAGTTGTTATACCTCTTATAATGTCGACACAGTCAAAGAGGGCGCTGCACAATCAAGCAGGCTTAATATCCAGCTCAATACTTGTAAAAGGCCCAGTAATAATTAATATGTTATAAAAAGGCAGTGTACATTCAGCCGGTGCAGGGTAAATTTAGGTAGACAACATTTTGACGGCTATTAAAGCACTGAACATGCACATGACTTTTTTGCGGACTTAGACATTTTTACTGTGACAAATCTTATAGTCTTGCTTTGCGCCAACATTGTAGTTGTGACTTTGTATTCACGAAATGGGAATCAGACCATTTTACAATTTCGGACTTAATTTCCCTTCGGACGGACGTTTTTGTACTTAGTTGGCGTTTTGTATAGCAAACAGTTTAGCGGGGTAATCTGCCTATGAGGCTCCACTACCACTACATGGAGCCTCATAGTTCTAGGAGTACTCCCACCCATGAGTTACACACTCTATCCACAAGGCCACAGGTCTTCTTGCGCATCCGATGGTGGTAATTTAATACCTTTTACAATATAGGGGGCGCTGTAAACCTAACTGGCAAAATAACATTTACTGAAATTTACTTCCAAGTTCCTATCATTAATAGTAAAGAAGAAAATTACTCTGTATATCTTGTACGTGCTATCACCGTCCTCAAACGGTACCAGCCTCTCATCGCAGAAAAACACATGCCACTTATCCCACTCCACACCCTGGATTTTAGGCAGACCCTCGACCATGAACTTAGCGACACTGCCGCCCGACACGCCGAGGTAGAACGCCCCTCGCTCCCGTACGGCCGCTTTGCTCTGCTCGGCGACGAAGTCGCACACGGCCGTTGGAATATCGGCTGTCGGTAAAACATGAACTTTTCTTCCAGGCATGGCGGAATGGTGATGTCTAGATTGCTCTCCCGATTTCTTACTCTTTTTACTAAACGAGATTCCCAGCTGGAACAGATCTCCGGAGACTGTTATTTTTGTTAAAAACTTCCGAAGCCGACGACGCAGAACCAAAACACGGAAGTTTACAAGCGAGGCTGGTACCTATCCTACTCGTGCGCCATGCGCATTGAGCAAAGGCCAATACGTTGGTACCAGTCTAGATTTCATGCGTGGGATCACCACTTGAGGGCGCTGTTTATTACAGTAAGCCATTATTACAAACCAAAAAAAAAATAAAAAAAATACAACCAAATTAGCCTGTTGTAATTAATTGTATGGTTACTTGCGCAAAAAATATGACAAGTGTCAAATAATTTGACTCAACAACCTGTCAAAGATGATATTTAGGCTAGATTTATTTTGTTTTATCTGTATATTTTATGAGCAATTTGATTTATTATAACTTTCGGTTTTGTCTGATTCAGATGCCATACATGATACAAAGACACGCATGTAGTTGCCATAACGGCGGAAACTCATTGTAATTTTCCTGCAATATTGATTATATCGTTCCGCGAGTTTTAGTAGCGTCTTATTAGCATTCTAGGGACATAGTTCATGTAAAAATTTAATGAAACATGCCTGCAAATGTTGTTTTCTTTTCTTTTATATACAATTAATTGGGCTTGTGCTAAATCTTTGTACTTATTACCTCCAGGGTAGATCTATTTTGTTTCGATATGCAAACAATGATTATTTACATATAATGAATATGCACATTTGTTGGTTGTCAATGAATACATTTTTATTTTAGATACAAGTTCTACGATAGTACGAAAGATGATCGAGAGGCTTCTTTCGATACTTTTTTTTAGTGGATTTTTTGGTATATATCTTCTTCAAGAACGTTCTTTTGCGTTAAATAAGTCTCGAGGTTTCCTTAATCTTTATCGAAAATGGCAAGAACCGGCTGGTGAGTCTTCTTATTCATGCGATTTGGATATATGTTTTTCTCAACAATTTCGATTTTCGTATTTTTCTTGTGAAGTCTGAAACCCTGTGCTACTAGTATGTATTAATATGTGTTGTAGCCAAACACTATTATGGGTACCAGTCTATTCTGATTACTTTCAGGAAAAGTCATTGGATTCATGATTGTAATGTCAGTGAATGTTTGTTTGTTTTCTCTCGTTTTATGTACTAGACCTAGTGGCTATCGTTAAGGCAGCTGTAACACGATTTTCAACAATATTGTTAATGTTATGGCATGCCTTTGGTAAACGTTAGACTACTGTGCAGAAGGTACCGGGATCAAATCGGTGATGTCGGAAAGATTTTTTTGTTTTTTTTCTTCAGACAGTAGGCCCCCTAGTTTTCTTTACTTAATGTAAAAAAAAAAAAAAAAATCCCACTTTTCATTTGAAGAGTCGCGTCGGCTAACTTCAGTAGATTTCATATTTTTTCTTACTGATTCATGGTTTTAGTTGTAGACCTAGGCCTACAATTGACCTATCGCCGTTTGCGAGAATAGCCACGCCCCTTAGACAACCCGATGGAATTTTGTACGCTAAGTTTTGTTTGTCTCAGATTTTTTGCATTCCGCATCCATTTGTATTAATAATAATAGCTGCATTGACGCGATTCTACCGCCATTCTACTGTGATAGGTCAATCTTTAACCCTATTCTCCAACTCCATCAAAATCCATACCCCCATTTTATACCCCGCCTGAGATTTGAGACCAAAAATTTTGGCACTATATGCGTGTAGATACACTACACACTACTACAGTATTGTGTAGCGTGTAGTGTAGGCTACAGGATGCACGGTCTGTGAACGTCGTCTCAAATGATGCATCATATGCCCCATTTTGGTGGATTTTGGGGTACTTGGTCCTGCGGGCCTGGTTTGACTAAATATTGATGGGGTATGATGGACGAGGCCTAAAGCAAAGCATGCATTGGAAGCAGTGTGATTGATGGATTTTGGCGGCCTTGGTCCAGTAGAATAAGACTAGAGACAGTAGGGAGTTAAGGTTAATCCATGTAAGTTTTTGATAGCAATTTGGTAGGTTACTTTGGGGACAGTCAAACCTCAAGGGAACAGGTTCAAAATATTTGACTTCAGCAGAGTTTTGAGTTAAGCAGGGTTGTATATCATTGTTATACTACTGAAGGCACATTGATTTTGTGTTCGATAGCCTTTTCAACTCTGGTGTTGAGAAGGGTGAACTTATCCGCACCAAGGTAAGGGGGCCGCCAGTACGTTCAAGCTTGACACCACGAAGGAGAAGGCTGTCAAACAGTTGTTTTTGAGTTATCAGAATTTGACTTATTGAGATATTACTGTAATTGCAAATGATCCTACCTTTGTATATTCTGTGGACAGCTAGCTGCTGGGCACCACAGGGCCCAAGATGAGCAAGAAGTCTACCCCTAGCAAGGCGGGAGTGACATACAGGACCAGCTCCCGCAGGAACGGTTGGAGCTGTCCTCCTCACCCACTACAGTTTGTCGCTTGGATCTTCATTGCCGCCTTCGCAGTGATGTTCCATGGCATGGCCGTACCCACCATTCCGTATCATTGGCAGCCGGCCTGTCACATGGTATCCTTTTAATTACTGCTAGAATAAGAAACTTCAGGAAACTTTAATAACTATCATTTATTTTTGCAGTATTGGGCTGTTGGCCTTCCATAGTTTGCCAACCTGTTAAAAAAGTGCCAACCATGGGTTAGGCCCCCCCAAAAAAGTCTCCGGTTTCTGGTATGCGCGCGCGTCGCCGTAGCCATGCGCGTCGGCAAAATGAAAAAGGTTTTTTTTCAATAAAAGATGATTTCTCAAAACCACCAAACTCACTGGTTTGACTGGAATCCTGCTGCTGCACAGTTTTAACGTGTTTTTAGATGGGGTTATGACCGAGAATAAGCTTAACATGTATGTGGCCTCTCTGGACTCCCATATATTTGCACTAAGTTTAGTCGGTAACCATTTGCAGTCATCAGCCTACATTTGAAGCAAAAAAATACAGGAAAAAAAAAAAATCGGCGTCGCCGCACCACTTTTTGGGCAAGCTCCATACCAGAAACTGGAGACTTTTTTTTTTTTGGCCACAGTAAACAAAGGTCATACCGATACTTTGCCATGCAAAGCATCACATCGTTTACACAATGTAGACCACTGCAAATCAGGGTCAATTCAATTCCAGTCTGGATTCCATAACCCCATGCCCCCACAGATCGTGGGTGTCGTGCTCGCCGTGCACGTCATAACGCACCTGGTGTGCCTGACCATCAACCCAGCTGACCCCAGCACCCTGCGCAGAGACAAGAAGGCCATGCCGGAGTTTGACCGGACCCAGCACAAGCACGTCATTGAGAACAACCACTGCTACCTCTGTGAGGTGGATGTGTAAGTATTTCTTATTCGCTGGATTGGTCGTGACGTAACTCGGAGGTCAACTCGGTGCAACCATGATTACTGGTCCATGCGCACTGCAATGAGCCGGTGAACAATGTAGTTTCGCTATGGCTGTTGTGAATCCATTTCATAATTGGCTTGATTCTCCCCTGTGAAGTGAAAATAAGCACAACTGTGGTTGTTACAGGGCCCAATTTCAGGGCTCCAAATTAACCATTTTTTTTTCAGTTCAAATTTTGTTTGCTATTGGTTACATGTTCATGAACGAGTGCAGGCCAGCTAGACTGGTTCCCTTACCTTACAATTTTCCGGCATCTATAAATTGATCCATTTCATCTTTAGTGGAGTCAGGCAACCAGACTACTTGAACAGTTTCGTTTTTCTTGGTTTTTCCAGCATTCTCGAACAAAAAACTTCAAACATGTCAGTGTAACAGTATTTGATCTTTTATACTAACCCCTCAATTAGTTCATTTCTGAAAAATCACAGCAAAAGCCAATGATGTACATTCCCTTTAATCACCTGCTTGCTGAATGAAGCATCCTTAAAGATATAGTCCATCATTTGTAATTTGTGCATTTTGTTCGTTTGAAGCAACAAAAATGCTCAAAATCTAAAGAAGGGTACTGAACAACTAACCTGATGAAGTTTCAGCTCAGCTTCAGCTGTATATTCCGAGAAAAACAGCATTCTAGGATCTCGATTTCAAATCAAAAGTTGCTGAATCATGTTTTGAATTGGGCCTGAATTCAGCGTCTGAGACACGTTCTCAATGAGCCGATTGCAGTTACGCGATGTCGCACACTGATCCGACGAATTATAGCAACCGCACGCGCGTGTGCATCGTGCCAATACTTGCGCGCGCTTCGCTGCAAAACAAAACGAACTACTAATTTAAATTTCCTACGGTGCGTCTTAAGAAGCACCGTTGGAAAGGCCTTCTTTCGTTGATTACTTCAAAATGACAGCTTCCCAGAAAGAATAATTTCACAGGGAGTTTAGTCCCCTTACTATCTTTCAACCAAGTATGTTTTTCAACAATAATTACGCCAGTTACCTTTCGGATAGCTGCAAATGATGGACTATAGCTTTAAAAGACCATTTCGGATGTTTTGTTTGCACATGGTATTTCCAGCCACCATACATACATGTACAGATACATGATTTCAAATTCACCGATGTTTGAATATCTTAGATTCAAATTTAACACTGTTGTTTGTTTTATTACCCTCCATAGTGGCTTGAGATCCAAGCATTGTAGTTCGTGCAATAAGTGTGTCGCTGATTTTGATCACCATTGCAAATGGCTGAACAACTGTGTGGGCTCCAGAAACTACAGGTAAGTTGCGGTTTTTAAGTTAACAAATAAATAGTAAAAATACAGTTGTGAAAAATTATACTTCACTGGTGTTTGTAGGCTGTGTCAGTTTAAAACTACAACGAGTAATAAAATCCCAGTACACTGTCATTCTCAATATTCCTCATCAGACATACAGCATTAGAGGGGCACTAGGTCCTGAAATCCCCCAAAATTTCATGTTTTGGATTGTTTACTTAGCCTATTTCAAACTTCTGGTTGAAAGGAAACCACCTAATGTCTTCCCGTTCCCGAGAAAAGATGAAAAAAAACCCGCTTGTTTACATCGGACACGACGGAGTATGAATACGTTTTTTGTGTCGTTCTCAGTGTGCGATATACACGGTGTGTGTCTCGGGAACAGCGGTGACCAATCACCAATGCAAAAAAAGTGGTTTCTTGAACGTCCGCAATAGGCTCACACTTTACGAATGAAATCACAACTAGCATCCAAACAGCTCAAATTTATGGGGTTGCAAAAGTGGCCCCCGAAATTCATTTTCGCCTGCATAATACAGGAAACACAAAAACGCCCAGTTTTGAAGGGATAGTTGTGTGGATGTATATATCCTACTTTTAAATGTTATTTCCGATTAACATCATCTCGTTCAAAGCACGTTTTGTAGCCCAATTGGGCTGTTCCAGGACCTAGTGTCCCTTTAAAGGAAAGGTTGTAGAACTCCCCACATTTGATCTTACATTTCAGTTGCTTGTGGTAATCTTTAAAAAATAAAAATCATACATTTTTTGCTTCGTACTTTAACCCTAACTGGTTTTTTTTGCTAAGAATCTTCCGCATTCCTCCAAAAAGCATCCTTCAAAAATCATCTCTGTACTAGCACAATTTTTCTTCATACAGATAAACAGAATGGCTTGAAAGCCAGAAGCAGTGCGGAAGATATCTAGTATAATCGCAGCAAAATTCATACATGGCTAAGCAAAACACAAAAAGGTGCCATTGACGCAATGCATCCTCCAAAATCTACTGGAACAAAAATGGCGTACAGATGATCAATCCTCCAAAATCGCCTGATTGATTTTTGAGGATTGAGGAGGCTTAGGCCAAAAAAAAAAAGGCTCCGGTTTCTGGTATGGAGCTTGCCCCAAAAGTGGTGCGTCGACGCGGCTTTTTTTTTTTTTTTACCTGTTTTTTTTTTTTTTTTTTGGCTTCAAATGTCGGCTGATGACTGCAATTGGTGCCCGACTAAACTTAGTGCAAATATATGGGAGTCCAGAGAGGCCACATAAAGCTTATTCTCGATCATAACCCCATCTAAAAACACGTTAAAATTGTGCAGCAGCAGGATTCCAGTCAAACCAGTGAGTTTGGCAGTTTTGAGACATCATCTTGTATTGAAAAAAAAACTTTTTCATTTTGCCGACGCGCATGGCTACGGCGACGCGCGCGCATACCAGAAACCGGAGACTTTTTTTTTTTGGCCTTAGGGTCAATCTTTGACATTCCTAGCATTCAGACATTTTTGACATTTGTCATACTAGTTTTATGGTTTATCTGATTGCAGGTGGTTCATCACTTGTCTGGGTTCAGCTTTTCTGTGCTGCTTGTTTGTCTTCGCTGTCTTCCTGTACATTTCCATAGTCTACTGGGTCAACCCAAAGCTCCTTCATCCAGAGTTATATGGTAAGTCTTTTAGCAATGCCATCCCAGTAACTAAGAAGTATCAATAGCTCATATGCTTGATGATTTTTTTCATCTAGATAAAGATTGTCTGTCCTCGTGTGGATGGGGAGTGTGGCCTAGTGGTTAGGGTTCAGGGCTCGTGATCAGAGGGTCAGGGGTTTGAATCCAGCTGCTGGCCATAATTATGTTGTGTCCTTAAACAAGCCACTTTATCCCCTTTTGCCTCTCTCCACCCAGGAGTACAAATAGGTCCTGGCATTAGCTGGGGAGTAACTGCAATGGACTAGCATTCTATCCAAGGGGAATGGATCCAAGTCGTTTCATGCCAAGGAAACCGGAGATACGCCGGTCGATGAGCCATTTTTGCTCATGACAGACTTTACTGTTTTAACTTTTTCTTATGTGAATAACGTTGTGCTATGAATCGCCTGAGTGATATGTCTGAATACTATCTTATGGAAAATGTGTTTTGAGCGTAAAAAGGCTCATTCCATTCAAAAGTGTTTGTTTAATTAGCAAGAGATTGTTCAAATACCACTCAAGTCTACATGACATGTACAACTCATTATCCAGCCTGCAGTTACATGTCTAATCCCAAGAAAAGACAAAAGGAAGTTTTAGAAAATTTCTTCCTGAAAAAAAAGAAGTTATATTAAATGAGAACCATTTTCCTCACAAATGGAAAATCTATTTCGTACCTAGCGTACATATTGCTTCAAAAAAGCATACAATATAATATTTTGTCAGTCAGTGGACGTGGCGCAGCGACAACTTGTTGAACAGCATTGTACGCAAGTTGATTTCAGTATAAGGCAAATTCAGAGCATTTGTTTTTCTGTTTAAGATGGTGCTGCAACCACACAGCCAACAGTCACAGCGGAAGAACTGACAACCTCACAACTCCTCAACAGCTCAGCGAGTCCGACAACAGACATCTCCGACCCTCTGGTAGCTTACCGGAGCGGTCTCAGGATCTTTGGAGAGGTGTCGGGTACAGCCTTCTTTGTTGTAGCAATCGTACTCGCCGTTCTGCTATTAGTAACACTCTGCCTTTTAGGGCATCTTCTTGGCTTCCATATGTTTCTGAGTAAGTATCTTCATGTTGGATTTTAAAAGAAATTATTATATCAAGTCTTTTATACTGTGTGATTCATTTGTTGAGAGCAGTCATGTTTCTAGTTTAGAGAAAGGATTATAACACCTCACCCACAGATTTTCGGTCTGGATTGGCCGAGAGCAAATCACATAGCTTTCTCTATTTTTTTACTACAAATATCTTGTTGTGCATCTCCGACCCTCTTGTAGCATAACCTTAACCCCCTAGGCCCTTTTTTTCTAGGAACCATCCTCAATCCTCCAAAATCCTCAAAGCTTTTGCACAAGTGTCCAAAAGAAAGATACCCACTGCCTCAATCCTTCAAAATCCTCTTGAAAGTCCTGCCTCTCGAAATGCATTCATCCCCAATCCTCCAAAATCATCCTCTTCTTCAAACACCATTCATCCTCAATCCTCCAAAATCAACTGATACTGAATGTGCATTCATCCTCAATCCTCCACAGTCCCCCAAAATTGTATGTTGCATTCCTCCTTAATCCTCCAAAATCCTCAAAAACTGCCTGGAAAACTTTGTAGGATTCAGGAGGGTTAGGGTTAATGCTAGACCGAGATGCCACGTAAAAACTCCCTTCAGATGTTGATGTCCTGTTGAGTTGTGTTCCTATTCCGCTTTTGATTGCAGTCTGCCATGATATGAGCACCTATGACTATGTCATGCAAGACCGCAACGCTTTCATCAGTGGCGACGTAGAAGCACAGCAAAAGAAACCAAAGAAAAAAGGCTGTTGCAAGGTCAGTTGTGCTGTGAAATTATTTGCTTACAAAATACATGTGCGCAGCTTCGAACTCAAGGTACGTGCAAAGGGTACTCAGACACGGAACATTTGAGAAGTGGGAAACAACATCATCACAGCAATTGTGAATGTGAATGCTCTATTCGTGATGATCATTTCCATCTGTTGAGCTTTTAATTGTTGGTTAAAGTTAACTGTTTGTTGGGCTACCAATTTTTTTGTTGTTGAAATTTTGCCAAATTTTAGATTTGTTCTTTATTTTCAGTGCAATAATCAAGTTGCGCCGCTGCAGGAGGCCAAGGAAGAAATTGAAATGACCGACACTAAAAAGTAAGTCACATGTATACCATTTACTTGCCTGCTGAATGTCACATGCTTGTTGCTTTATACTGCTGCATAAAAAAGCACATACATGTACATGTAATACCTGTCTGTTTTTTTCTTCAACCATCAACTGAAAACACCATCAACTGAAAACTCATTGTCCTACAATTCATTTGACTGCTGTTCTTTTACTTGTATTTTTGTATTGTTATCATTTTCTTCCCCGAGATATTACCAAATTTGTCCCTTGTCTGTCTTACTTTTTTTGGTTGGTCACATATTTTGCTCCTTTTTTGGCGATGGTGTAGGTATGGGCCCGGTTCCCTATAAGGGAACAAAATCCATTTTTAAAATATTATTTGGCCTACCACACTAGTTGGCAACATTATTAGAACATGCAGGTATGTCATAGATAGAGGGCAGGGATTTGAATTTTGGAGGGAAATTTGGGGGTAAAATGACGATGGCAACGACAAAATGCAACACGAAAATAAAGATGTCAATCACCGTGGAAGGTGCGCTGAAATTTGCCCCGTAGGAAAATGTAATTTCTACCCCGAGAAACTGGTCAATATAACAAAACCGATGTCATTACAATTGAGAGAAGTCTGCTTTCGGTCATTTTTGAGTAATAAAAAAACACCCTTGACTCTAATTTGATCGAAACTAAACAGGGGCGCTTATCAACATGATTGCCCCTTGTTTCTTTCATCCTGCATGTCATTAGCCCTCACACAAGCCCTTCTTGCACAGTGGTTTAATTTTTACCAATTTTCTATTATTTTGTCTCTGTGGACATTATTTTCATTCCCAGTCAACCCATTTTCTACAAGAGTGACCCTCATTTTTCGCATCATACATACATGTATTTGTTGTCTCCCCACCCCTTGTATGTCACTCCGTGTTGCGCCCTTTCTCACCCTGTGTGATCTGCATCCATCCCATCATCTATAGTTTCCCCGACATTGTGTTTTTGCTCTGTGTTTTGTGCTCGTAGGCATAGCAACCGTTGCAACCTTGCATGTCAAAACAAGCTCTCTTCTTGTCGTCCACTCGTGGGGAAAAGCAAAAACATAAACACGCCCAGTCACCCTCCCTGCCACATATCTACAGCCAAATAGGTACCTATCATTGGCGATCCATTTTGTGTTTTCACAGTTCATAATGATGGAGTACTGTATTGCAGTTGCATGACTTCATGACTACATATCACGAGGAGAACATTGTCATCATGACAAAAATGTGGCTGGATCCAACGACATGAATCTGAAGGGAATTTTTTTCCCAGCTTATTTATTTTCATATGCAATTGAAAGAGCATACTCAATTAGTTATTTCAATTGTTGAATTGTCTTATGAATTACAGACGTGTATTGAAAAAGTTGACAGTTCATATTGCATCCCAATATTGTGCATGATTTGTTTAAGGGTGCATCTTACTCGAAAAGTAGCACATATCTTATTTGCTTGAAGTCACTAGATACTGTAAACTGAAAGTTTGTCTTGCAATCTACAATTTGTATACATACATGTATGTGATGCGATCAAGCTAAATCAGTCGTTTTGACAAACAGCTGTAAAATGATATGGGGGTGATTTTCAGCCATTTTGAGACTTTTTGAAATTTATGATGCTACATTACTAATGTTTAAATGTGCTGTTAAAATTTCAAAGTGAAATTTCATCGACAAAGTATTTTTAAAACACTTTTAGAGAGGCATGTTATTTCACAAAATGACACTTTGTGCAAGATTTCATTCTGAAATGCAAAAAATTTCGGACCAATAATTTTAATAACTTTGCTTTGGAATATCCAATTTCAAAAAACAAAGTGGCGTTTGAAAGAGCAAGGTCTATATTTTAGTGATATTGCAATAACTCAAAATTGCAATAATGTTAAAAGTGCCTGATTTTGACGTACCACGTCACATATTTCAAGCCCTTTGGTTTGCATTTCATCCCTCCCTTCTCTGCTTATAATGCAAAAAGAAAAGTTTAATTAAACTGTCGAACAAGCTATAATTTCCTACTTTCAGCTGGAAATCACAACACAAATTCAAATGCATATAATCAAACTCGATTTCTCTATGGTATTCTTTTAACGATTGCTTAACTTGTTCTTCTTTTTTTCCCAATCCAGAGACAGTACTACAAGCCAACTGGAATCCAACAACAACTCCAACTCCAACCTACAGCAGCAGCTTGTCATATCAGAGCCTCTCATCAAGCAGAAAGAACAACAGCAGGACAAACAGGAGCCGCAGAGCGTAACAGTTACAGACAGCAAACCCAAGGTATTCTACAAACTGAATTGGCAGTAGTAGTAAAGCCTGTAAAAGGCCAATGTGGCCCATCAGGCCGGCATTTATCCCCAGTTTCAGTAGCTTGAAACGACTGAGACTTTTTCTATTCCCCCTGGACCGGATGCGGGTTCTCTCCAGCTAATGCTGGTGCCCATTTATACTCCTGGTTGTAGAGAAGCACACATATCTTTCAATACAGACCCTCAAGGATTTAACATTATTTATTATACCAGAACTATTTTGACAATAAATGTGGCCAATTTTATTTTACAGCAACTATATTACCCACTATGAAACGTCAGACTTTTTCTTCAAATTTAAACAGTTCGGGCTTTCTGAAATGAAAAAAACAACAACACTGACATTTGAAAACCAGTCGGAAGTCGTACAGCTGTATTTGGAGATACAGCCTATTATACATTGTACAGGCAAAAATGATCAAACTTCAATGAAGTTAATTTGCAAACTTCCTACAGAGTTGGGGAACCTTAATGACAAATTTCTCAGTCTTGTAAAATAGAGAAAATCCACGTTTTCAAAAATTGGTCCAAGTGGCTGGCTTTGGCTGGAGGGTCACTTTTGTTTCAAAGAAAACTAGTGGTTTCAAATCATGTTCTAAAACAAGTTAGTTTCCATCTAACTGAAGATTTATCTTAGTTAATGCAAAATTATTCCTTTTTTTCTAGTCAAAGAAGAAAAAGAAGTCCAAAAAGAAATCCCAACGCATGCGCTCCCTGACAGCCAGGGAATCACTCCAGCCTGCGCTGATGGGCCATCCTTACCCCCCATCCCAGATGAATCTGGCCAACAGCATGCCCCAGACCTACCTTGAACAGCACCTAGTCCGGAGGTTTAGCCTTCCCCTGGTCACCCCTGCAGGAATGCACCCCCAATACCCTGTAGCTGGTAGGTAGTCTATTACACTGACCTCGCCTTGACACACAATGACTGTTGGCAATTGTCTTTGTTATGCCCTGTGTGCACAAATATCCTCTAGGTGCAACCCTGTATGAAAATGCCCATAGACACCAGTGATAAATGCCCACTCTTCCCAATTCTTTGAAAAATACTCAGAACTCTCACAGGTGATCATGATCTACTGAAAAATTATGATTTTGATCATCTTTCATTTTCTTTTCAATTTTTTTATGGGTTGACCATTGACTTTTTGAGATATTCTCATCCAAAGAAAAACACCCCAAACTGGAAAAGTAGCCATTTTGAAAAAGAATCCCTCCACAAGATGGCTAAATAGCGCCACTTTCGGGCCCGATTGCATCCAAAATGCTCAGAATTGGAAGCTCCAAGTCCAGGCCAGAGGTTCAGTGCCACATGTCTTCAATTTCCCAATTCCATGGCTCTCATAACTCTCTAATATAGAATGTTTTGAGGGTATAACGTATGAATGAGCTCGGCGGATGGATTTTTAGCCTATTTACAGGCATGCACCCCTCTCGACGGTGAAAAGAAAAAGATGGATGATATACATTCTTAGATGAAAGATAGTCGTGCAAACTTCATGACTTCATGCCATTTACGCGGCACCAGTTTACACTTGTGTTGTTTATTGGACGCTGGGTTGAACAGTCGATGGTGCTTCTTGTAACCATTTTGTCAGAGGTCCATGTGCAGGACACATTCTGTGCACACACACAAATGTGTGTTCACCGTCGATCGTGGACGTCCTATTGTCCCTCTTTTGTTTGTACTCTAACTTTTTAGGAAGACTCCCATAGGTTTTGTACACGACCCCAATCGCGGACGTATGCTGGGAATCGTGGATGTTATTGTTCTCTTTTGTTCTCTGGTATTTTTCGTCCACGGTTTGAAAAGATGAACACGTACACTTGTGTGTGTGCATTTACCGTGAAGCAGGCACAACTTATATAATTCTGAATGCATACAGAGCTATATCGTCTTTTGCGTGAGTGCTAGCGTCAGACGTTCAATGGCTATGAGTTTTGCAACGAAGGAGTTGTTGCTTGTGCATGGGGTCCATATGCATACTGAAGCTCTTGCAATTTGTCACATAGCAGCATAAAATATTGTTCCAGCGTGACGTCATTGATGTCACTGTCCTAAGCTTACTTTTCAGAAAGTAATCTAATTTATGAATTTTTTTTAGTTAAAAAATGTCGAAACACATTGCAAAACATTCATATCTGTAAAATGTGTCCATATAGTTGCTTTGTTTTTTAAAATATATTTTTCCAACTTCCATTTCAAAACACAGAGCCTGTGGAGGACCTGTTCTTCACCCAGCAATTTCCCACAGTGCAACGGCCCATCACGAATCCCCAGGATGGACAAGCCCGTCAGTGGCGCCCGATCCCCCCTCCCGCAGCCATCAGCTTCGACTCGCCCACCCCGGCTGTAGACTACCACTCCTCCTCGGCCGAGAGCCTGGTTGAGATCCCCCTTGGTCGGGCATATCACAGAGGGTCCTTCAGCCATCCTGCACAGAAAGCCTTGCTGCCCGGCGGGAACCAGTTAGTAACCGGTTACCAGCATCCCTTAGAGAAGCGGCACCTGAGTCACAACAGCCATCCCAACTTGACGACGAGTGGTAACCAGCAGCAACCGGACATCAAGCAACTTGGTGCCGGCGTGACCCATCTGGAAAGCAACACGAACAATATGTCTCACTTAAAAAAATCCAAAAGGACATCTGCGAGAACTAAGAAAGGAGAAATGTCGAATGTTTCGCCTGCTGCAGGACCGCTGAATGAAATAGAAAGAACAAAAAGGCATTCCATCAAGGAGCCACTGCTAGTGCAGACCGCTCAGGAAGCAGAATCACAAATAGTGCCAGATGCTGAGAGACTCAATAAAAAAACTGGAAACTCAGGGAGGAGGGCCAAAAAGCAAAGATCGCCACAGTCTGTGGAGACAACGGCTGAAGTACACCGGCAACTTGATGATCAGTCAGAGGTGGCCATGCAGTCCTCACATGATAGCCGGCAACGGAGGATGCCAGGGCAAGACCAAGAGGCAAAGGTTGACATAGACCCCCATCTCCAGGACCGAACCACATCAGACGCCAGAACTCAGAACGGGCAAGCGCCACCACCCAAGGCTGCCCCAGTGGCCGCGCCAAGGAGGCGAACTCTGAAGTTGGGCCAAGAGCCCTCGGGAAGTCAGACCTCTCTCCACAGCTCCTCCTCCCGTCAGCATCTCCTGGAAGATGCGGACGGAGATAGTAATCGTCCGTCATCAGGAAGATCCAGGAAGGAGCAGCTCCAGGAAAACGGCTCCCACGATGCCGTATCCCTCCCCGGTTCCATCCCCGAGGTCCCACCTTTGGATCTCGGCCCCCTGGCAGACACCCATGACTCAAAGGCTGCCTCGGTGACTCATAGACCGCCTTCCGACCGTGGGTCGCTCTCAGATGAGCAACTAGTTGAGGGTTACTCCTCTGAGGAAATGAACTCAATGCCTATGTCACGGAGACGATCCTTGCTGCTGCGTTATTAGAGCAAGTTAAAACTTGCACATGATGTTCCTGTCCCTTTCTTTGTTTTCATGGACCATTTAATGTTTTTCGAAAATTGTTACTGGATCTTTAGAAGATATTTCATCCGTGAAACTATTACGTTAGTGCCAAAGCACATGAGATTACTACTTTTCTATTTTCATTGCACAAGTGCACTTCTTGGACATGGAATTACAACTGCTGATACTATCATGGCAATATTCAGAAGTTCGTATAATGTACATTTATGTACAATGTATGATGCAGCATACGGTGCTCAATACACAGTGCACTTTGGGCTTTCTATCTGATAATCTTTCTGCTTTTAAAAAAACAAACATTCAACTGCCTTCACGATAAGAACGACATCAGTTAAACTCATTGTTAAAATTAAAGGTATAGTCCATCATTTGTAATTTGTGGATTTTGTTCGTTTGAAGCAACAAAAGTGCTCAAGATCTAAAGAAGGGTGCTGAACAACTAACCTGATGAAGTTTCAGCTCAGCTTTAGCTGTATATTTTGAGAAAAACAGTATTCTAGGATCTCGATTTCAAATCAAAAGTTGCTGAATCATGTTTTGTATTGTTCCTGAATTCAGCGTCCGAGACACGTTCTCACTGAGCCGATTTCAGCTAAGCGATGTCGCGCACTGATCCGACGAATTATAGCAACCGCGCACGCGTGTGCATCGAGCCAATGCTTGCGCGTAAAGGCCTTCGTTTGTTGATTTCTTCAAAATGACAGCTTGCCAGAAAGACTAATTTCACAGGGAGTTTAGTCCCCTTACTATCTTTCAACCAAGTATGTTTTTCAACAATAATTACACCAGTTACTTTTTGGATAGCTGCAAATGATGGACTCTGGCTTTAAAGGCCAGTGCAACCTGTACAGTTTGAAACGGTAAAGTGGTGAGTTTGGGAGAGGCAACATTGGATTGAATGACTTGACATTTGCTGCATAAATTTTATTTTTTATATCCATTTGGCTGTAGATGAACACAACTGTGTGTAGTTCAAACTATAGACACCTTGCGTTTGATGTCACATTTGGAGGACATAAACCTCCCCCAGTGAGGGCTCACTGTGTATGGGGTCATTTGATACAAGTGTAGTTGTTATTAATACTCAACCATAGAACGGATGATGCAATTTTAAAACAGACTGTGCAGTGGCCACGACTGAGCAAAATTGTTTTTAAAAAATAAATATATAAATAAATAAAAAATGTAAATGACAATCATGCTTGGCTTTTAAAAATTATTAATTAAGCCATGAAGTCTCTCATTAGAATATAACTTTCATATTTCTTTAAAAAGTCCTTGTCTAAATTTTGATAAGTCTGTCAGGTTAACTCGACTTGATTTTTTTCGCCTTGAGCCATTTATTGCAAAAGCCTTATCTTCTTGAAATCAAATACATACAAAATATAAAATATTTCCTTAAATGAGAACGTTTGCTGGACAGAACGTATAGTTCTTATTGTAAGTACCGGTATTTATTTATTGAACATAAACCAAACAACCAAAGAGTATGAAAGTTGTTTCTCGTATTGAGTGGACATTGAATGAAATTTAACCTGTTTGTGTAATGATTTTAAGAAAGGCAATTATGATTGGTCATAACTTTGTCTGTTAAAGTTTACTGTCAATGTGCGGAAAATGAATTTAAAGCTCAGTAAACTTTTGGTAATTTCCATCTAACAAATTTACTTTAATTGTTGAAAAAGCACTTTTCAACAGGTTACATCAGAATTTTCTTCTTAATAATGGAAACAAGCAAAAGCACATAGAATAGGCTTTGAATTGTCAAAATGAGAGAGAAAAACAAATTTTAAATTTGAGTGCCATCAGATTATTCACATTCCTTTTCAATTTCAGAGTAGTACACGTATATTTTTATGAAACTCAACATGTTGTTTGTCAAACTAAATAACAAGGAAGTGTTAATACGTGTATGTACATGTACACTGTGAATGAACATTTTATTAAAAAGATATTTTGTGAAAATTTAATTTTTGTCTCGGCCACGTTTATTGGGAAAGGTTTGGGTAACAGAATACCAAAGCTTCTTGTACATGTGATCTGATACACCGTGCCCTCTGGAGACATGCACACAATAGGGAACAAAAGATTGTATACGTTTCCACAGCGCAATTTCTATAGATGAATACGTCCACAAGGTTTTCACGAAATAGATATATGGGTTTTACTCAAAAACTAGGAATTTCCAAGGTATGTTGATCTGTCGCAAATGGTGGAGTTTTAGAAAAGGGATATTAAGTCCGAATTTCAGCCAAGGAATTAATTCTGGTTAAAATAGCATTTTGAAACTGTACTTTCAAACTCGAAAACTAGTACACGAAAACAAAGAAATGTCTCCACAAGGATAACAATTTTAGTTTGCGTGTTGGATGATTCTTGTGCACTAAAAAGTGGAATTTTTTGTTGGACCTTTAGAGCGGTTGCATCTTAGTTATGGAGATTTGAATTTCTGAGTGACATCCCATAAACTTAAGTTAGAAGTTCTGTTGGAAAGATTGTGCTAGAAATCAGATTTTTTTTTTTTTACAGTTGTGTCTATTTGAATGGGCAGCTACACATTTTGAATGGGTGGGGGGGGGGGGGCCTCCCCACAGTATGTTCCAGGTAGTACACAGATGACGGCTGCTTTAAATAGCGAATTTTTTTATTTTGCTGTCCAATAACGAGTTCTGCAACACTTGAAATACAGTTTGGTAACAACATTTTCACAAAAGTGAAATAAAGGTGAATATTTTTTTAAGGATCACAAATATTAGACAAATCGCTTCTTTAATAAAAATTTTATTCAGAGATTTGCTGACAATTCATTGCACATTTTTCAAAACTTAATGAAGGTACTCATTTATACAGAAAATATTCAACGTTTAATCTTTGAAATTAATATTTTTTTTTCAGTTACAATCAAAAATGGCAAGCATGATACAGTGCTACTGTAGTATCCTTACTAAAGACCAGAAAACTCAACCTCTAAGTTATCTGACGTTTGTAAAAAAAATTAATTTGCCCCAACTTTTGATATCCTGTACAGGGCGAGTAACAAAAAAAAAAAACCCAAATGTTGGGACAATTATTTTAGGGAAGTTCTGCAGGTGGCATTTTTTAAATCTTGGATATGAAAGCCCAATTCATAAGCTTTCTTTTAGTACAAGAATCTTTCAAATCACTCACGCACTTTTCAAGTTACGGAATTTTAAACACAACCACCGTTTAAAGGTTCTGTCCACGGATCACAAAAAAGCTCAGTGTTCTTTCAGCAAAACGAAAACAAATCACATAGGTATGTAAGAATTGTTTTCGTTTTGCTGAAAGAGCACATACCATTTTTGTGATCTGTGAACAGAACATTAAAACGGTGGTTGTGTTTAAAATTCTGTAACTTGAAGAGTACATAAGTGATTTGAATGATGCTTGTACTAAAAGAAAGCTTATGAATTGGGCTTTTATATCCTAGATTTTGAAAGTGCTACATGCAGAACTTCCCTCAAACAATGGTCCCAACATTTGGGTTTCGTTTTTTATTTTACTCACCCTGTACTCAAGTTGGAAAGAAGTCACCAGAGCAGCTTACTCACACAGGTCATACGCAACTTACTCTTACATTTACACATTATTATACTCAGTTTGATGTGCAGAAACCAATAATTTTTTAAAGGTAGAGTATATCATTTGTCAGTTGTGCATTTCTTTCGTTTAAAGCAACAAACGTGCTCAAAATCTAAAGAAGGGTGCTGAACAACTAACCTGATGAACTGTTAGCTCAGTGAATGCTGTATATTCCGAGAAAACAATATTCTAGGAGCTTCGATTTTCATATTCAAAAGTTGGCAAGTCACGTTTTACACTGCGCCCAAAATCAGCGATTTAATAGCAAAAGTGGAATAATTTATTTTTCTCAATTTTTCTTTGTTTGACCCCAATGTGAAAAATGACCAGTCCCCATTATCTTTAAGACAATTTTGAGTCACATATATGTAATTTGCATCACTACTACGTATATTGATACAGAATCTGTAATTGTTCATGCCTCATATATGATGTATTTTTTAGCCAAAAGAGGGCACCCTTGCTACATGTATGTACAACGCACAGCTGTCCATACACAGTTTGGCACACCTGGTTTTAGTCAAAGTGAACCTCACTGAATAATGACCCTGTCACACGGCTTACATTTTGCTCATTTGGTTTGTTCTTCGCATGTGTCCCACAACTTTAATCTAGTCCAGATTCATCCGCAAAGCTTCATCCTCCAAAATCTCCAGCAGACTGTCTCAATTTCTATATTCTTAGCTATTAATTTTTTCTGAACAAGAAGGTTTCTTTTAAATAAGTTTTCAGATGGACTTAGTTGTTAATAGCACTCACATGCTAAGGGAGTGAGTGGTTTGCCATCCTGCACACTTGCACGCTGGCTGAACTTTGTGTACACATGCCTGTCAAAATGCCCGTCAAATGCCCAACTTCTGCAGAACCTTTGTCAGAAAGCTTGACGCACTTTCCCAAATCCACCACTATAAAGGAAAGCAACAACGACTTAGTATTTGTACTTAAACTCTGAGCTGCACTGCCCTCACAATCCTCCACAAATAACCTTCTTAGACTTTGATGGATTTGAAGGGTCCTGGACTGTTCGGGTTCGTAGGGTGTTCCTACAAGCGCAGACGTCACCAGTACTCTCCCGCAGTGTTCAGCACGGCAAGCGCGGCCGCACCGATCCCCGCCGAGATCGCCCAGACAGCCAGTTTGATGACGCCGCTGCTGCGGCTACCCGTCTGCGAGTCTGTCGTCGTTGGCGTGCCTGCTGCCCCGTTGATTCTAGAGGACATGTGCTGCAGTACCTTGTCCGGTCGCTGGTACAGGGTCTCCAGTTCAAAGTCGGGGTGCTTGGACATACTGGTGCTGTCATAGATGAAAGAAAACAAAGGAAGTTTTGATGAGGTGTCACAGGGCTGAGGTTGTCAGTCTATCAAAATTCAGTCTCAAAATAATTACGTCAAATCGAAGTCCAAGACAAGTCAAATCACAAGTTCATCATAATCGATCATAAATAGGGTCTGAAGCAACAGGACATTAACTATGAGGATGCTTTTGTCAGTTAATTTGCATTGCGACTTGACAATGCAAGTAGTGCTCATAGCGCCTGTGCATTAGCATCAGGGGCCAATTTCACGGCGCTGCTAAGCACACAAATTTGCTTGGCACAAAAAAAAAGTCTGGCTTGCAAAAAGCAGGTTACCAGTCAAAACTCCACGTGATGTATATTGCTCGTGATTAGTATTCAGCTGTTGTTTGCTTAGCATGAAAATCCCGTGGAGTTTTGGCTGGTAACCTGCTTTTATAAGCCAGACTTTTTTTTGTGCTAAGCAAATTTTTGTGCTTAGCAGCACCGTGAAATTGGGCCCAGCTGTGCCATTGGCAATGTTTTCGAGAGTCCCTTCCAGTGGTATCCCCCAATCTTCCTCTTCGTAACTGTTGAGGGGGGTACTTGTGCACAGACACCAAAAGGAGTATTAAACAGGCAGGGTGGTTGTGGGGTGGTACAGGGACTAATGCTCTAGTTAGGCCAAAAAAAAAATATTCGGTCTCTGGTCAGACCAAAGTTCTGGAATTGACGCTGCCACGCGGCTTTTTTTTTTCTTTTTTTCTTTTTTCTTTTTTTCTTCAAGCTTGGATTGTACAGACAAGGTGGGCACTATTTTGCTTTTTTGGTGTCCTCATGTACATTGGTGTCCTCCATAATTTGCCTTGGTGCTTTCGATCATTTGCCTTGGTGCTCTTTGGTAAAAAAAAATCAGGAGGTGCGGAAATAGAGGGCGCTGTTGGAGCTACCGCGGAACATTTTGGAAGAAAAAAAGATCGACGTGCATGATTAAAATCGACGCGCGCGCTGACCAGAGACCGACTTATTTTTTTTTTGGCCTTACCTTAGTTTGTATTGTAGCCTGGCTTCTTTGGCCATTTCAGCCGGCGGATATTGCACAAACAGGTCCCCTGCCTGGCTGACCAGGTACTCCATGGGCAGGTTACCGGGGATCTTGGACAGGAGGCTGTGGACGAAAGCCATGTCGCACTCACAGGCCAGCACCTCCTCCTGACGATATAGTACGATCTGAGCATCAAATTGACAGAGGGAAAGAAAATGAGCATTATTAAAATTTAAAAGGTACCAGAATCTCCTTGCACGAAAAGTATATGGCACTTCCACTTGTTATATTAATACTGTAACCACTTGTGAGGCTTCTGTGGGAGGGACCCACAGCAGTTCCAAGCTTACCTCATACAGTCTGAATTCAAGCCAATGCATGCACGTGAGGTATGCTCAGAATTTCCTGGGTAGCACTGTCAAAGTTCCCAAGACTGGATTTGACTCATCTGGTAAGTAACGACCTCTATCTTTACTGCGCTTGTCAGGGACCGGCTGAATGAACCAATACTATGGAAAGGGCCACTTTACCATACTGAGTCCCCTTCACCATCCTGACCCTTGCTTCGCCACCTTGATCCCTGCTTCGTCACCTTGACCCCTGCTTCACCATACTGACCCCTGCTTCACCATCCTGACCCCCACTTCACCACCTTGACCCCCGCTTCACCATCTTGACCCCCTGCTTCACCATCTTGACCCCTACTTCACCATCCTGTCACTTGCCTCACCATCCTGACCCCTGCTTCACCATCCCAATCCCCGCTTTACCACCTTGACCCCCACTTCACCATCTTGACCCCTACTTCACCATTCTGTCACTTGCCTCGCCATCCTGACCCCTACTTCACCATCCCGACCCCTGCTTCACCATGCTGACCCCGTTTCAACATCCTGACCCCTGCTTCACCATCCTGACCCCCAATACTTACTGCAGCTGCTAAGTAAACAGGCATGAGTGGGTGGCAGGCAAGGAAGAAATCATAGAGTCGCACCACACTACGGAAGTCATTCAGTACATGGCCGTACCAGGTGATGAGCCACGCTAGGGCAAAGACAGTACCCACTTCTGACCTTAAAAGTAAACAGAAAATGAATAAAAAAGGTTACTGGGGAGCGAATAGTAATGTGCTTATGTAGCAGTTTATTCCAAAGGTCTCAAAGTGCTTCACAATTATTACCCCTGTTCATCAGGCCATGGGACCATTTTTATGCAGCAGCTCGAGATCAGCACAATCTGGTCTCTACCCTCAAAGGTACCAAGGTACACTCCCAGATGAAAAGAGGCAATTGTAGTAAAGTGTCTTGCCCAAGAACACAAGCACCATGCTCCCCGTCAGGGTTTGAACCCACGTACCATCTCACATGAGTCTAACACGCCTACCTCTAGTTGTTTTCCAAGCCTAATTGACTTCAACCATGACTTTTAAGTAAATGTACAAAACTTCTTTAATGAACACGATATTTCTAGGGTTTGCACCCAGAAAAGAAGTTGCTCATTTGCTAAAAATTATGGCCAATATAGCGATGATATTTCTTGGCATTCTATTCCTAACCTCTCCATGAAGTCATACAGCTCCACATTAGCTTTCTTGATGATTGGCAGTAGGTAATTCAGCATGTGTCTGGTGCGATCCATGGTGGAATCCATGAAGTCTCTGTATGCACACAAATAAGCGATGGTCAAACATCTTCATAACTTAGCTGGGGGGGGGGGGTGTGGGGTGTTTTGGATTTTTTTGTTTTGGTCCTGCGTGCATCTTCTTCCATATAATCCCGAGAAGGCAAATAGCGAGAAGGCAAAGAGGACGAATTAAAGAGGACGAGTGTTCTATTAAAAACATGCCAGTGAAATAATGAACCTATGACTACGACAATGAAATGAGCTACAGAAATTAGATTTAAATTTATTTCTACACAAGAGTCGAGACGATAATATTCTTCACACAAGGCAATAATCCATGATATAGTAAGGCACAATAAAATAGCAATATATTGTAGGTCAAATGTCAACACATGGCTGGCTACATCTGTACATACATTACAGATTACAGATCGTGAATCATCCGGCCTCAAAATGAACACAATATTCTCACAAATAGATCACATTTTAACCTAAGTACTCACAGGGACGAATCTATAATACTATCCTTCCAAATGATACAAATTTGGAGCATGGCCGGAGCCATGCTCCCTGCAAAATAGAGAGAATATATGCCCACAATTTGTGGTGGTCTTCCCTGTTCAAGTCCCACAGAAGAAAACTTGTTACAAGTTGCCTTTGCGCGGGAAGCACAAAGGTCATGATATGCAAATCACTCGTAAAATATTTGGATTACAACAGAGGGCGCACTTGGTCTCCCTAGACTGCAATATACAAAATCTCTGACATCTGGTATAATAGAGCAGGAGGCACAGTGAGTTACCTTAAGTGATGCGTAGACAGTTTGTGAACGAGTGCAAATGCAGCCTCTTTCCCGACAACCAAGAGAAACGTCACACATATATCGTGATAACCCTGCATAGACATAAAAGACGAGAAATAGAGGGCATATTAGAATAGATGAAGGAAAGAAATGTACATTACGACCTGATCATAAGTACCCCTCCTTTTGTTTGATCAGTCACAGACAGTCAAAAATTCAATCCTGTTCCCCTGCCATGCCTTTTACACAGGCTAGTGATCACCAACAGTCAGATCATATTTCCTGTAGACACTGCGACAGTGAAATTCCATCATAAGACAAAAGCAGGTGACTGGTAGGCACAGCTGGCTTACTATATCAATCTCCTTCATTCAAAGCAGCTATATCAAGTTTGTATAACAATCACAGCCAGTCAATCCTGCTTTATTAATTAGGTAGGGAGCACTTAACTGTTAAAAACAGCCACTTGATTTATTTTGACTGTTTGGCTGGCCTTGTTGAATTTACCAGCCAGAGAGGGAGGGTTGATAAAGGAATGCCGTCGTCAAAGTTAATGTGAATGGCAAGCAACTTGACTTGAGACTGAAGGACTTATGATGGGTTTATGATCGATGTGTGAGGACTTTCCTTCTACTCAGCCTATCTGCAGTGTTGTAGGACTCGAGTCCATTCTTGAGTCGCAATTTCCGTGACTCAGACTCTACTCGAGTCACATCGGCAAAAGACTCGTACTCGACTATCATGACTTGGACTTGACGCCATTGATTCGTTACTCACGAGTCACATATTTTTTTAAACTAAAAACAATGACCTTGTTTTCAAACATAATTCTGATATTAATTTTCGGAAAGTAGCGTTAAAGCATCGCTAAAGAACGTTAAGCACACGAACCGTACCACACCACTTTCAAGGTGTTATTGCAAATAATAAATAACATTTGTTATCAAATTCCCACGACTGGATTTGATTCATTTTGTTGATAGCACCCTCTCCCACCGCAACGACTTGGCTGCACCTTACCAGGGAGGAACTCACTGATAAGGCATACCTAGGCCCGGTCCCTATTACACGGCTACGGCTGGTCTACAAGTGGCCGAATTCACTTCCTATTGACACGTGTGCAATTGCCAGCCGTAAGCCAAGTATATTCTCACGCAGCCTTACCTGATAGTAATGTAGCTGCTCATTCTCCATGAGGACCCTGACGATAACATCAACCAGCTGGCCTTGTAATGCCTCCCTCTGATCATCTCGCATGCCTGCAAAGAGAATATTTTGGAACAACATAACTGCATGGTACATAGTTAATTTTCTAAAGGTTTAAAGGGAAAATACAACATTTGCAAACATCAAAAAACGAAATGATCAAATTATCACAAAACACCTTCCTGAATTGATAGGGAATGACAGTCTAAAGCATCCTTTAAAATCGTGGCTCCTGGTGTGCTGACATTTTCAAGAAAAACTGTATTTTTCAAACACTGGTCGGCCGACCGGCGTTGGAGAAAACTGGGGTTTTTTTTCAAAAACTATTCTCAATTTTTCATATTTAGTTATTCTGACTTTTCTTTGCAACTGATTACACACCTGTGAAGGGGTACCAGCCTGCTAGACTGATTCTCTGACCTTACAATTCCCCAAAGTGTATTAATTGCTGTTTCATCTTAAGTTGAGTCAGGGAACCAGACTACAAGAACATGATAGGTTTTCTTGGTTTTCCAGCATCTACAAGCCCTTTAACCAAATATTCCTATTAAACAGTGTAAACGGAATGGTAACAAAACTACACCACGTAACTTCTGCTTATCGCTACATTAACAAACCATGCATTTTGGCAGTAATTAAGGCATAATGTGCTCGTTTCCATCACACTGAGAACTGTTACAAAATTACACATCTCTTGCCTCTATTTTGATTCGCAAGGTCACAGGCATGTCAAGTTTGTTTTTTGAGGTTTTCAAGACTATTTGAATGTGTAAAAGTCAACACCTTAGATCAACATGCTGTTAACTAAAAACTTTAATGACAAAATAATCGACTAACTTGTTGGCCTAGTACTTTAAGTTTTTATATATTTATTATAAATAAATAACAGTTTCAGTGGTGGAAGGAAAACACAGGAATCACATTTCTAGGAAAATCCCACCGTACATGTAATTTAGGGACCAATTTACTGACCCAATCAACATGAAGGTCTAGAGGGGATTCGAACCGGGGTCACAGCGTTGGAAGGAAAGGAAAATGCCACTAAGCCAACCTGATTTATTTAGTTTCGTGTCAACTGCTCTATACTCACTGATGACTCTTACCTTTTGGAAATCGCTTGAGTGACCTGTTCACGTCCAGCACAACTTGGTGATAGTCTCTGTGGGATTCTAGTTTTACTCCTAAAACCAGAAGTAGCAATTAGATTTACAACTTTAGTACCCCTTACGACAGCGGGTACTTCAAAGGAGAGGTCGAAAGAGTCCTCCCAGGAAATTTTTTGCTGGGAACCTCCCCCGTATCATATCCTCAAAACTGTTCCACTTTATACATGTAGGAATCCACGGCAGGATCTTTGTATTTATACTTTCAAGGTGATGTCATCAAGCCCACGTACATTGTGAAGTAATTGTGGCTGGGCTGTTTAATGATCAGACGGTGATTGTGTAGTAACGGCCCCTCTTACGTTTTAGTCCTTAGAGTGTTTTTATCATTCCAAAATGACTCCTGCAACCTTAAGTAGTCTTCCTTTAACCCTAACCCACCTCACTCCTCCAAAATCCTCCTGGCGGTTTTGGAGGATTCTAGAGGATTGAGGATGAATGGTGATTGAATCAAATGAGGATTCTGGAAGATTGAGGATGAATGGTGATTGAAGCACATGAGGATTTTGGAGGATTGAGGATGAATGGTGAATGAAGCACAAGAGGATTTTGGAGGATTGAGGATGAATGCATTTTGAGGCAGGACTGTCTGATGATTTTAAAGGATTTGGCGTTGGTTATCCTTCATTTAAACACGAGTGCAAAGTTTTGGGATGAGGAGGATTTTGGAGGATTGAGGATGAATGCATTTTGAGGCAGGACTGTCTGACAATTTTGAAAAATTTAGGCGGAGTTGAAAAATTTTGGAGGATTTTGGAGGATTGAGGATGGTTGTAAGCAACAAGGGCCTAGGGGGTTAGGGTTAATACTAATGACTCTCCTTTTTTTTGGTGGTAATTTTAAATCAATCTTTTGGTCAAAAAACCCTATTTTCTTACGCATTTTCAATTGATGCCATACGAACGCAGTTGATGCCATATGAATCAATGCAGTTTTGCAAATTCACAGTGCATCGCGGTGCTGGCGGTCATTTTTATTTTCGTGCGTTTGTCATATTCATCTTCGTTTTACCCCAAAATTTCTCTAAAAGTAAATCAAAATCCTGCCCTCTACCCCTGACACTCATGTGGCTTTAAAATATCACTAACTTGTTGGGTGATTTTAATAACCTCTTTCAGGAACGGGGCCCGTAACTACACATATCGTCAATGAGATGAATTCTAAGATACATGTACATGTCGATAGATTGCTCTAATTTTGAAACTGCTTACGAATTCTGCTCACCTTTTTTGTAAGGGACATCGAACAGGTTGACATTGAGGAGTTTGGGCCACGCCTTCCTGCGCACATCATCAGTCAGTAGACCCCCTTTACTGATGGCAAGCTTACGTAGCGCGGCCACGTCCACAGGGTCAGCTGTCAGGGCCTTGTGGATGGTGGCAAGTTTCAGTTTGCGTTCCGACTCTGTGCCTGTAGAATAAATAAGGGAATAATAATGTAGGAAAGCAGTTATAAAAAGTCTGGTTTAAAACCAGTTAGGGGCCTGGTCACCGATAGTGGCCCGAGCCATACCTTTTTGGTCAAAAACTTCAAAAACGGCGAAAAATTGACAAACTTCTGACTATGTTTTGTTCATCAATTTTACTCCATGTTCGGGCTACTTCTGCGGTGCGCATCACGCAAACGTGGTTTGTTCAACATCTCATGTTCCTTTTGATATGGAGATCATGGGGTGTTGGACTGGTTGTTTTAGGTGCCAGTCTATTTTCTTGCATTGCACGTTTTTAATACCTTACGTTTTGGAACTCTCATGCACATTGTTGAGAGTCCCAAACTGGATTTTGATTTTCCTTTAATACAGCCCGTCTCTGCCTTGGCGGTAGAGGATGCTATCAACAAGATAAAGCAACTCCAGTCTTGGGAACTTTGGCAGTGCTACCCAGGACTTCTAAGCATATGTCGCGCACCGCATGCAAGTGCGGTACGATCTTGATACATGCGTTTCATGGGTAGCCCTACCGACGTACCAAAGACCGCATTTGATTCATCTTGTGGATAATGTCCTCTACCACCACGACAGCATTTTTGGCCTTGTCAGTGACCCGCTGCATTAGGGGAGTAATATCCAAATCCAGTTTGGACCCAGCCAATAACACACCTTGAGGGGGGCAACGGAGTGCCTGAATGGAGGGTGATGAGCTTGATGACAGCGACGAAATGGAACTGCTCCTTGACGGGGATGGAGAAGGGGTACTGGTCCTGCTGTGGTCTTGGCCCGGACTCCTCTGGGGCCGCCGCCGCCTCACACTCATAGCTGATGACGGCCAGACATCAGACTACTGTTGGAATATGGGATGTCTAACTTAGTCGGCAATGCTACTTTTATCCTACTTGTACCCCTGCGTATAAGGCCATGTCCACATTACTTGGCTAGTATGAGTATGACTAGTGGTACCACACGCAATGTCAATGATCTATGGATTCACTTTCAACTGCTCGGGTATAGGCCTATATGCGATTGCCAGCCAAGTAATTTGCACTCCAGTATGGATATGCTTCCACTCTAAAATATAAATATGTGCGATTCATTTTTTTTTTTCTTTTTGTCCGCATGTCTCCCCCCCCCCCCAATCCTTTGACATGCTTGATAAACACCAAGCATATGCCTGCCACAAGGCCCAAGCCATGCTATGGCCAAGCCTTGGCCCAGCCTCATCACCCCCCCCCCCCTCCCCTGCAATAGGCATCAGCCTTGACATGCTTGATAAGGTATCAGGTCAACTCGGACCCAAACCAAGTCGGACCCATGCCAACTCGGACCCATGCCAACTCGGACCCACACCAACTCGGACCCACTACCAACTCGGACCCACTACCAACTCGGACCCACGACCAACTCGGACCTGCGACCAACTCGGACCCACCACCAACTCGGACCCACTACCAACTCGGACCCAAGCACGACCAACTCGGACCCAGCAATGACTCAATCATTAGTTTCAGAGATTATATTTATAGGTGATCTTAATGTTAGTGCTTATATAGTGAAGATATTCTGTAATTATATTGGGCAGAATGGGGCTTTTAGTTTTGTTGTTTTCTTGTATTGCAGCTGTGTGGAGCGCTATTTTATGATGTGTACAGTAAATACTGTTGCTTAAACGCTTATCGTTTTGAACGTCATAAAACTAAACGTGCTTAGCTTAACAAAAATGTTATACTGCTGCAATACAGATATGAGATAATTTACCTTACAATTACAATGAAAATGTATACTAAACAGCATCACTGTAATAACAGATGAGAAGTGGACAAACTTTATGAAATGAATGATTGAAAACGATGTCGAATGATTGAAAACGATGGGTCCGAGTTGGTCATGCATGGGTCCGAGTTGGTAGTGGGTCCGAGTTGGTTGTAGGTCCGAGTTGGTAGTGGGTCCGAGTTGGTCGTGGGTCCGAGTTGGTAGTGGGTCCGAGTTGGCATGGGTCCGAGTTGGTAGTGGGTCCGAGTTGGCATGGGTCCGAGTTGGCTTGGGTCCGAGTTGGTTTGGGTCCGAGTTGGATCGAAACCCTTGATAAACACCCCAGCCTGCGGGCCAATCCTCATCGGACCCCCCCCCCCCAAAAAAGGGCCACGATCTAGCTCATCTGCCTGCCAGTGCCACTGACGTCGTGCGTCCGGCCAGGCCTGGCACCCTGGCACTGCCTACTCCTAGAACTATGACGTGGAGCCTCATACTAGTTCTAGGAGTAGGCACTGCCACCATGACCACTACACAGTGCACTGCTGACTGCCGGCCGGCCGCGCACATCTTTGCTGAACAAGAAATTAATAACAAAACATAAACAGACCGAACATTGACATCATAAAGGGATATGACTGTTTCTGTTAAACACTTAACTAGCTTTACCTTGATGAAAGACTCCCGAAAAGGTGAATTTATGCTTCTAAATAATGTCAGGGACGAGGCCTAGGCACACTCTCTGACAAGGCGTTCACCGAGTACAAGTTAAGTAGCCACTAAAACTAGATAGCGCCCTCAATATTGTCCACATATTCATGGTCATCAATATCGTTTCATATGAATTTGGATATCGATCGATCGATCGTAATCATAAATCTGAACATTTTAACACCCATGAACGTAACGTCAGCACAAAACGTTATTTGTGTTAAAAAAAACTGTGCAAATAATCAACTACAGATATATCGATGTGTTTAAATTAATCTCATATGGGGATGGAAACGGGGGCGGGGACTTGTGGAAAATTATGCCAGGCATATGTCGGAAGGAATGTTTCAGATCAAGCCCACCACCAGTCTAGCTAAAAATTGTACAAGTTATCTAAATACATGTACCACTATTGTTTTCCTCATTTAATTCGTCAGCAGTGTTTGGGCAGGGCAAGTGTAAAAACAACTGCAACCCCTGGGCAACCAGCCCCCTCCCCCTTAAAATAAAAGATTTTTGAACCAATTTAAGGGAAGATCAAAGTGAGTAGTTTTTACAAATACATGTCTTGATTCATGGCTTCAGGCATTTGTCATTTTGTGCATTGACTGCAACGCCACCCCACCCCCTCCCCCAATCTTGAAATGTTCTGACTAACCACCCCCACCACCCCTTTATCCCCTTTTGAAAAAAAAAATCTGAATTCACTGGATAACTCTGAAGCTTCGTGTATTAACTTTTAAAAAAAATATGCCATCACCACGCAGTAACTCTTGTCCATCATTAGGTCAAAAAGCTAGCATGAAACTAATACTTAGCATATCTCGTACTATTTATTGTGAAACTTTTTGATTGGATTTACGTCTGCAGTTGGAAGTAAAACAGTCTACAAATGTAGAACCAAAATGACTTTTGACAAATTTGGGGGTTTATTTCTTTCACCTGAAATGACAAGAAAAGTTAAGAAGTCTACAATGTATTAATTAAACCATGTTTAATACAAACATCAAAGATTTCTTAAACACAATAAGTTATAAACCCGAAAAGAATGTTATAGGCTACATTTCACAAGTTCAATGTAAAACTCACACAGTTACATGGATTGTTTTGTAAAAAAAAAAGAGTTAAAATTGAAAACAGTAAATATTTTAAACTCCGGAACTTGGTTGATAATGCTTTACCAGTATACACAATGTACAGGCATTTACTGTATCGAGTGGTATGGTAAAACTAGCCTCCCGAGGTGATTTTGGAGTGTTCTGTTTTCCCTTGTCTGTAGACAAGGGAAGCGGAGTGCTACATGGATAATCGAGGGAGGCTAGTTTGACTACACCACAAGTTAAAGCAGTCAATATTTTATCTTAAAATGCCTGACCCACAGATTCTGTTTGATTTTGAGAGGTAACTGATTAATTGAACTCAAATCCAATAAAGATGTACTTCCTTGTTTAATACGACTTTACTTGAAAATTTACTTGCACTTTTCCAAACTGCCCTTTCATTTAATGTTTGAACCCAACTAATTGGAAACACACACATGCCTGTATTCATGTGCACACAGAACTCCGGTTGTTATGTTGGTTGCTATGTGTAAAGTACTTTTTTTCAGTTGTTGTTTAGTCATTTTGGACGTGCACGGCAAGATACTAAAACTAATGCCATGTGACCTGCTCTCTGCCAACCAAAATACAGAATCTATAGGTAAGGCATTATGAAGTTAAAATCAAATGCCGAAACAAGCGATGAACCATCTGTGCCGTAACATTCAAGTCAAAATTACAAACATTGTTTTCCCCCTTTTTTGTGTGGCCCTTCCATGGATTTGGTAAATCGTTAATAACTTCTTAAATAAATAAAAACTGTAATGAAAACTTAAGAAAAAAAAAGAAAACCGATTGGAACAAAGTCAACTTGCAAATTCAGCAAGCAAAACAAAAATGTGCAAAGAAAACTCAGATTTCAAATAAACAAATTTTGGGGAGTTCTAAGCTAGGAGAAGGGTTCACCTGTATTGTCTCTTGGCCAATTAGTGACCCTTTCAGTACCACACCTTCAGAAACACTAAGAACAAAAAATACATGTACGCAAGGCACATGTGCACAGGATCTTTAGGTGAAATGTGTGCACATGGTACTGAAAAGGTGACAGGGGAGAGCTGGTTATGTACAAGCAAAAGGGGATAAATATCCGGCTGTACAAATGAGGATAAGACCAACGCAGCTCAGTCTGTGGAGCTCTGGATCACAATCAGAAGGTACTCCTTGTCTGTAACCAAAAGAAAAAGAAAAAGAATAAGAATGAGACATAAAAGTAATGGGATTAATTGGCCATTCAGGATAGGGCACTCTCAAAGACGGCCATCTCTGTAGGAGAACTGCAACTGCGTATTTTAAGCAATCAAGCACGCATTGCGCAGTGTTGAAAACGTTCCAAACACGTGCGCTTGTTGCTCGAAATGTGTTTGAAATACGACGCAGCCGATGCGCATTATGGAGGTTCACGCTGAAAATGCAGATGCACGTGGCTGGTCTGAAGGAAATGACGTCATTTGAACGAGACCTATAGTCAATGTTGAAAACTTTCAATCTTTTTTTGAAATTGTTTTGACCCACCCACCCCACATTATGAAGTTTAAAAGCTGAATGACTATTCAATACACTAAAGAACAAAGTAATGCTTCAAATGAAGCAAATATTGTAGGTCAATGCTCTCCCAGCTTGGGAGTTTGCAATGGCTTTTCCCGGCTTCCAGCATGCAAATTTGTAGTCGAAACAGAAGAGGAAATTGCCAAGCACACAAAACTTTTTTACAATTTTTTCTGTTTCCTTTGACAATATATTTAAATTTGTTTAATATAAAATGGTGATTTCAGCTTCGTTAATATATTTTGTTATCATTAGCTTTAGCTGTGTCCAAAAATGTTGTAGATCTGGTGGGATCTTGCACAAAAATACAAACGTAATGGCGGCCATGTTTATCACCAAAAAAAAACCTGTCAGCACTGCACTAGTCTTCAATTCAAGCCCTGTTTTGTCTAAACAAGGATTTCTGCAAACTGACTAATAACTTAAAGGTACAGTCCATCATTTGTAATTTGTGCATTTTGTTCGTTTGAAGCAACAAATGTGCTCAAAATCTAAAGAAGGGTGCTGAACAACTAACCTGATGAAGTGTCAGCTCAGCTTCAGCTTTATATATTTCGAGAAAATAACATTCTAGGATCTCGGGTTCAAATCAAAAGTTGCTGAATCATGTTTTGAATTGGGCCTGAATTCAGCGTCAGAGACACATTCTCACTGAGCCAATTGCAGCTACACGATGTCGCGCACTGATCCGATGAATTAAAGCAACCGCGCGCGGGTGTGCATCGTGTCAATACTTGCGCACGCTTCGCCAAATTTAGACGCATCGTTGGAGTTGGAAAGGCCTTCTTTCGTTGATTTCTTCAAAATGACAGCATGCCAGAAAGAATAATTTTACAGGGAGTTTAGTTCCCTTACTTTCTTTCAACCAAGTATGTTTTTCAACAATAATTACGTCAGTTACTTTTTGGATTGCTGCAAATGATGGACTGTAGCTTTAATTTTGAGATAGAGCTCAGGTGTCACCAATGCCTTTGGACATAATCTTTGACCAAGACTGGATTTGGATGTTGGTCCTCTAAAGGAGTTGTACCCTAGCATATACGGCCATGCCTTGGCAGTACAGGGTGCCTTGGAAATGTTGGCGCGTGCGACGTATGCTCGGAATTGCTCCGTTCTGGCTGCCCAGATTCCCAAGTCTGGATGGGTTTGATGCATCTGGTTTTGAATCAGCTTGACCAATCAGTGGGAACAAAATCCAAATCTAGCCTTTGAAAAGGAACACTACAGGGCCATGGAAATGAGCCCAGAGTGTCTGCTGCCACCTGGAGTCTACAAACTGCCAGTCCGCTGTGTTCTCTCTCTTACCTGGGGCCACCATGACTTCATTCTTCTTGCTGCGGATGCGCAGGAAGGTCAGGTCATTCTGGGGGTCGATGTCGCGGACCGTGCTGCGGGCTTTGGCCGTCAGTTGATGAAGTAGGCCCGCATATTGCACTGTGGTGGAATTATCCAACGTTGTTCTGATTGGAATCCCTGCAGTGAATAAAGAAATCAATCAACTTGAAGTACATTGTAACATTATACTCATTTAGTGACTTTGCCCATTAAAAAAAGCTCAAGTAAGCAAGACTAGTCTTTTTGCTGGTCCCAGAGGTCCAGCCTAGCGTCATCTTGGTACCTATTTGACTGACTGACTGATTGACTGATTGTCACTTGTTACTTCACTTGCTACTTTAGATTGGTTGTGGGCCAGTGAAGAGAGGTAGGCAGCGCTATCGTATAGGATTACCCCGGAACACCAATGAATAGGCTAAATCTGAGTGTGCTCCACTCATGGGCGTCAATCGGTGGGGGACGGGGAGACAAGTCCCCCCACTTTTTTCGTCCCCTAATAAAAATGGTAGCCTACTATAATGATACTATAGCTCAGAATAGCTGATTCAATAACTCCAAACTCGGAAATTATGTTTACAAGATGATATTTTGCGGAAAAAAGCCTCAGATCTCAGAAATTGCCTCAGATCGCACCACAAAGCGTCTAGAACCCAACAGTTTTGAACGAGCACCAAACCCCACGCTGTTACGGCTTCGCGCTTCCCGCTCGTGTTAGTGTTGATCAAGGTATGTCCCCCCAATTTTGAGAAGCGACTGACGCCCTTGGCTCCAAATCAATGCAAATGCTGCTAACGATTTCCCCGCGGCTATGCACTGAGAGATTGTGAACACTGGCAACGTTTGCTTGATCGGAATGAACCCCTGGTCCGTTGTGAAGAACAGGTGAATTTAAAAGACTTCCAGTGAATAACCATTCTGAATCAATTGAAAAAAATTTGGTGTGCTCTGGCTTTGACTCGATTTCCTAAATACATGTACGTGTATGTCATCAGTCACCACTTTAAGTTTACAATAATAAAGAGGAGAAATAGACTAAAATCTGTATACCTTCCATATTGACAACCATGAGGCCGATGACCCCTTTGTGGGAGGAAATCCTCTTCAGGCATTCTTCAACTTCACTCTGCAAATTGAGAATCAGGACATGAGTGACGGGCATCAACTAAGGTACATGTACATGCGGTTTGCAAAGCATAATGGGTAAGTTATGACAATGTGGCCAACTTCCACGGGCTATTTTTTTCGAAAAAGTAAGTGGATTTTTAACACACTTTGACACTTGGACGAGTGTACAGTAAACAATACAGCAAGTGTCTGGGCATTAGTCCTCCATAGTCTGGGCTACACTACTGGGACAAGGGGTAAATTAGCAAAGTGTGCACACAGGTGTGCGAGTTGGTGGGGGGGGGGGGGGACAAGTTGACAAGTACCTAGCGGTGGAATTTAAACCCGGAGTTATTAAAATTGGGTTTGAATCCCTCTGTTCGACTTTGATTCTGGAAACCGGATGTTCGAAACCAACCTTAAAAAAAATTAAACATTCCATTTTTTTTGTGACACAGGCTAAAAAGAAAACAACTAGAACATCCCCCATTTTGCACATGTAGGCCTATGCAGCTGCATTCACTTGCTAGTGGCCTTCTTGGTGTATGTATTCATAGGTACTTGTCAACTTGTCCCCCCTCCACCAACTCGCACACCCTTTCACACACATTGCCAATTCCCCCTTGTCCCAGTAGTGTAGCCCAGGAATAGCCTGTCCATTTGACTAATCAGAGAGTTTCCATCACACTGTTTTCTAGTCTACACAGCTCTTGGAGTGTTTTTGTAAAGGCCCAGTGGTCATTGAATCCTGCAAACTATACCCAGTCATTGGGAGGGCATTGCATGCAGCACATCACCCGTCACTTCTTGTTGGCATGACTGTGAGCTGGATGGGAACTTCCGGTGAAATCAGATAACCCTTATTCAGTTTGAAAAAAAATTAGGATAACCGGATTTCGAAATCTCCGGTTTCTCCCACCACTACCAGTAATCTACATGTACAGTCTTAGTTCAAGATGCTAGTGTAAGATTGTGCATCACCTCAAGTCAAGATTGTTTTTTCCACAGCAATACACCGCACCGTCACATGCCATACTCTGAACCACTAATACCAATGGCTTTGGTATTATTTCCAATTCCGATTTTTTTTCTTCATATTTTCCCTTTGTTTTTTCTAGGTTACAACCAATTTTAAAAAGCAACCATAAAATTTGAATTGTTTTATATAATACTTAAATATTAATACTTAAATGTGACGCGATACAATAGCAAGCAACAGGCCCTACTGACAAGAGAATTTGCTATTCCCACATTAGCTTTTCAAAAGAAGAGTCAATTTGCATATTATTTGAATACAATTTGCTTGCATCCCCAAATCCGCATTGTTGTTGCACGTTGTTCATCATTCACACTAACAAATGTCTAATTTGCATATTAACCCTTACCCTACTAGACCCTCCAACGCATGCCAATTGTGCCTCAAGAAAATCTCCTATGTTTTTTGCATGGCCCTCCAATATCTGCCATATCATTTCAAGGGTAACTGGACAGGCATTCCAATACATGCCACAGAGAACAATGAGAGTCCTCTGATAACAATCAAGTGCCCCCAGCTGGTCAGTATCAGGCACCCTCCAGGGCCTCCAACTCCTGCCAATTGGAGCCTTCACTGCTACATCAAAGTATCCTCCGATAAACTGCAGCTGGAGGGCATTGGCATAACCAACTGACATGCAGTAAACTACCCTCAGAGAGTAAGGGTTAATAAGAATATATGATGGTCACGCCTCTTCCATGCAGGGGTCCCAAGACATGAGTGCAATTAAATACATGTAAACGGTCAGACTCATAGCCAGTATTGTTAAGGTGCAGTACTATGAAGGCAATACAGTTAAATTATTCGATATTCACAATGCATCTTGGGTGTGATGATAAACAAACCAGGCAATTTGTGCAAAAACCTACTGGTAATGGGGCCGGCTGTGAGCTACTTACAACTGTCATTTGATTCATTTGCAATATATTGCGATAATTAAGACTTAATTGATCATCTTTTCATACATTGTTGCATGTGTAATTAGAAATATTGTTATAAATTTTAAAAATTTGTTTTTCAAAGCTTATCAGAAATCAGACAAATTCCCTTTTTAGATACCAGTTTCATTACTCATGAATATGCATATTAATAATTATGACCCTGCCAATACTGGCCAATCAGAATCAAGATTTCAAGCTCTTCCCTCAAACACTGACCAATCAACACAATTGTTCCTCTGCTGGGACTGAGGACTGGTACCTTGAAGTTCTAACCTTGAGAAAAAAAATCAAGATTATTTCTTCTTTTACATGTAGGCCTATATAGACCTATTTTTTAAAGTTCAATATATGAATTTTATTTCCAAATTGTATTTCTTATATTCTATGCAAAAGAAGTGAGGATCAATTATTTTGCAAAATAGTTTTTGAGGGAAATTTTGGGGTAGGCCCCTAGGCTAAAAGTAAAAGTAAATGACAATGAAGACGACAAAACCATTAAAACACAATGCCAAAATTAATGGAGATCACCACGACCATGTGACGACGCACTAATCCGCAAAACCGCATTGATCATTCACAGGTTGATTCACATCAACTGATATGACATGTCTGAAGGCTGAAGAATATTTTGCGTAGGAAACTTATTGGCGATCGTGTAGTGTAGGGCCCGACTCCTAACTTAAGGAAACAAATTCCACTTTAAAATTATTAGACAGACCAAACTAGTTGGTTCTCAATAAACAGGTATGTCATAGATAGAGGGCAGGGTGTTGATTTTTTTAAGTGAAATTTGGGGGTAAAAATGACGATGACAGCGTGGCGACACAACACGCAACCCGAAAATAAAGATGGCGATCATCGCGCGATGTACCATGAGCACGCACGGCGCGCTGAATCGCAAGGTACAAACCGCGCAGGAAATCGTGATTTCTAACTCAAGAAACTGTTAAAAATTGCAAAACGGATGTCATTATTAGAATTGAGAAGTCTGCTTTTGATTATAAAGGTGATTTTTTTAGCAATAAAAAACATTTTTGACTCTAATTTGATCAAAACAAAACAGGGGCCCTACGCTACATGATCATGACGGGGGTCAGACAAGTCGACCGTTGAGACAACTCGACTCGGGACAAGTCGACCGTTGAGACAACTCGACCGTTGAGACAACTCGACCGTATGTGCGATAAATGGGAAGACAAGTCGACCGTTGAGACAAGTCGACCATTAAGACAAGTCGCCTCGCATGTTTTTGTTGCTAGTTTTGGGGATAGTCGCGGGGATTTTGACGGCGGCTGATCGCCGTTTGGGAGTGATGACACATGAGTTGTTTTTTTTGTTGGATATAACCATGATAACAGAGCCGATATAGCGCAGCCGGGCCTGTGCGCGCACTTATCCCCGGTCAGCGTCGGCCGTACCGTGCACGGTGACATCGTTTATGCCGGGCCTGTGCGCCCACTTGCCGCCCCGGTCGACGTGCCCGCGTGCCGGGCCGGGCCCGGTCCTCGCTAGCGGGGCTTGCCAGCCCGACGCGACGGCCACCGGATTGAAACGCCCTCTGTGCATCCAGTATGCCCGCGCCGCGTCCGGGATCGCAACTTTTTCCCGCTCCACGTGTATACATTTCCGTTAAGTCGAGCTGTCTCAACGGTCGAGTTGTCCCGAGTCGAGTTGTCTCAACGGGCGACTTGTCTCAACGGTCGACTTGTCTCAACGGTCGACTTGTCCCGAGTCGAGTTGTCTCAACGGTCGACTTGTCTGACATCCATCATGACGATCGCCAAATTATTCATATTTTCTAGTTTCTATCAAAATACTGGCCTAGGCTAACTGGCAATATTGCTACTATTCAATTTAATTACAATTTTTTTTTTGAGCTAGAGTGCTAGTTCACACATGACATTCAGACCATCATTTTATAGCTCCATGTTCAGACATTGTCACTCATCATGCTCATGCCGGACATTGACCAGTCGACAATATGCACAGTTGACATGGTTGAAATAGAATGACATTGACAATCAGAGAAATCAGGGAAAACAAACAGCAATAAATATATACGCTCACAGTCTATCGCCACATTCATAGCAAAATAAACTCCCTCTGTAATGGAGAGAAAAAACTCACCATTGTCACTTGTTCGTTTATCAACAGATCAAAGGTAAATTAAAACTCAAAGCATTCACTGTTCCGTCCACCACACAACTTCAGCAACACTAAATTCCATTTATAATCGGGAGCCTCACCCTTCGACATTGGTTATATGCATAAATATATGTACTAGACATATGGGAGTCTGGGGACTATACCCGGTTGCTACGGTGCAGTTTGTTTGGAAATTTCATTTCCAGTACAACCACAAGCAAGATTTTAGCACTGTCAACTTTACAGTGCATTCCTAGTAATAGGAACCCCTTCACGAAGACTTACACATCTGTTTAGTAATGTTCTTTTAAATAATCTTTATTTGTACTCCTTTTATTTAAAATTATGGAAATTAATTTGTCTATGTTTAGAATTCCCCTTCTGGAAAAGTAACAGCCATAATATTTGTACCCGCTTTTCTAGCATAGCGCCCTCATGTGGTTAAGCTTACCTCCGGTAAAGTTTTTATCTGCATAGTGGTTTCAAAAACGCATCAAATACGGATGCTGCATAAGTGAAGAAAAAGAACAACCTCGTTTCCGATGAACTACTCAAGAAATACAAAATGGATTAAATTGAAATCTCGTGCAATTAGTTTTCACGATGTGTAGCATGAGTGGTTTGAATGGCGTGAGAAACCGTGCAGCTATAAATATAATATGACCGTAACAATCTAGTGTTTTAAACGTTAAAAATCCATGTTGACTTCTATTAGCATTGTATTTGTTGCAAATAAAATCCTGTATTGTTACGGTCATAATAGCTTTATTGATGGACTTTTTTTTATGAAATGAAATCTTTTGATGCCAAACATCATGACAAATGAGTGTACGAAAATTCATTTTAATGTAACGTGTATTTCTTGAGTTGTTGGCCCGAAATCGAGTTAGGTGGTGGAGATCGAGACCACTATAATATAGAGGGCGCGCCACATAAATAGTGGTCTCGGCAACGCATCAACACGGATGCTGCACAAGTGAAGAAAAAGAACAACCTCGTTTCCGATGAACTACTCAAGAAATACAAAATGGATTAAATTGAAATTTCGTGCAATTAGTTTTCACCATTTGTAGCATATGAGTAGTTTGAATGGCGTGAGAAACCGTGGAGCTGTAAATATAATATGATCGTAACAATCTAGTGTTTTAAACGTTAAAAATCCATGTTGACTTCCATTAGGATTGTATTTGTTGCAAATAAAATCCCGTATTGTTACGGTCATAATAGCTTTATTAATGGATTTTTTATTCTGAAATGAAATCTTTTGATGCCAAACATCATGACAAATGAGTGTACGAAAATTCATTTTAATGTAACGTGTATTTCTTGAGTTGTTGGCCCGAAATCGGGTTTGGTGGTGGAGATCGAGACCACTATAATAGAGGGCGCGCCACATAAATAGTGGTCTCAACAACGCATCAACACGGATGCTGCACAAGTGAAGAAAAAGAACAACCTCGTTTCCGATGAACTACTCAAGAAATACAAAATGGATTAAATTGAAATTTCGTGCAATTAGTTTTCACGATGTGTAGCATAAGTAGTTTGAATGGCGTGAGAATCCGTGGAGCTATACATACAATATGATCGTAACAATCTAGTGTTTTAAACATTAAAAATCCATGTTGACTTACATTAGTAGTGTATTTGTTGCAATTAAAATCCTGTATTGTTACGGTCATAATAGCTTGATAATTTGACGTTTTTATTATGAAATGAAATCTTTTGATGTCAAACGCATCGTGACAAATGAGTGTACGAAAATTCATTTTAATATAACTTGTATTCAGTGGCGTTGCCAGGAATTTTTTATTGGGGGGGGGGGGGGGGCGTAACGACATTTCCTATTGGATGAATTTCCATTGTAGAGGGAGACGCATATGTACACATGTGATAATCACTGCCACATATCTTGCTCCCCCACTGAGATTTTGAGTTTCTAAAAAAATTATCATTGATCTAAATCTAAATAGTCGCGAATGATCCACATGATGACCACTGAGAAACGACCCTTCGACCGGCGACCGCGGACCAGTAAGCTGACAACCGGCGTGACATAGCGCATAATGATAATGTAAAATGCGTATTAACACCCACTGCACTGCTCGCTCACACCACGGAACACGTATTATAGACAGGTGGTCCGTGGGTCACACTGTTTCAGTCAGCGATATCACGCGAATCGGCCACGCACAAACTTTTTCCTCCATTCATAACTAAATAATAATAATAGACCAATTAAAATTCTTAAAATCAGTGGCGTAGCCACGGGGGGGGGGGGGGCGACAGCCCCCCCCCCATGAAACCTTGTCGCCCCCCCCCAGTTCCCCCCCTGAGATTTTGAGTTTCTAAAAAAATTATCATTGATCTACATGACGCCATGGGCGTCAATCCTGGGGGGGGGGGGGCAGGGGGATGGTCTCCCCCCCCCTCACACTTTTTGAAGGGTGGGGGACACAATATCAAATGCCCCCCCCCCCCCCCAGATTTTTGAACTCGTGTCTCATTTACAGGGCCCAATTGTGTACTACAATGTATCTTTTGCTTAGAAAATATTGGTTAAATTGGTCAGAAATTGCATTTAGAATCCAAAATTTTTCGGGGCCCTTACGTGGGCCCTGAACCCCACGCCTATAGCTCAGAACTCTGGTAGCTGATTCAATGACTCCAACCTCGAAAACAATGTTCAAAAATTTTTCTTATGCCGTTAGCTGAGAAAACCTCGAAAATTATGTTTAAATTATTATCTTTTGTGCTAAGATAATTATTGGTTAAAGTGGTAAGAAATTGCCTCAGATCACACCACAGAGCATCGAGAATCCATTTTTTTTCGGGGCCCTTAAGCGGGCCCCGAACCCCACGCCTATAGCTCAGAATACCGATAACTGATTCAATGACTCCAACCTTGAAAACGATGTTCAAATAATTATCTTTTGCTAAGAAAATATTAGTTAAAGCAAGGAGGAAAGTGGTAAGAAATTGCTTCAGATCACACCACAGAACATCTAGAATCCAATTTTTTCGGGCCCTTAAGCGGGCCCCCGAACCCCCGCGCCGTAAGGGCTTCGCGCTGCGCGCTCGCATCTGTTCTGATCAAGGTATATCCCCCCCCCCACTTTTGAGAAGCGATTGACGCCCCTACATGACCCCCCCCCATGAAATGTTCCAGCCCCCCCCCCCCCCCCCCCCCCCCCCCCCCCCCCCCCCCCCCCCCCCCCCCACTGAAAAATTCCTGGCTACGCCACTGCTGCATAGGGACACATTTACCAGGGGGACACTTTCACCGTTGGGCAGGGGGACAATTTTACCTGGAGGGGGACAAATCTACCTAGGTAAAAGTGTCCCCCCGGACACATTTACCGGGTCACGAGCCGGTAAATGTGTCCGGGGGGACACATTTACCAGGGGGACAGAATTACCTGTCACAACGGCGTCAACAATCATGAGCGCAACTAGCGGTCTAGCGTTCGAGAGCCCTCTATTGAGCGAGGGCGCTTTTAACCCAGCGATACAGGCAGATACCCAGACGTCTGTAAAGATTAACAGCAGGTAAATTATTTGAGAGCCTGACTAACTCGTCTCGGCGCGATTCTCAACAGAAGTTGAACAGATTTTACGTTAGTCGTTGACGTTCGATCGAAAGTTTTACGAGATTTCTACCTTTTTATTTCCACAATGATCAACACTAACGTTGAGATCAGACTTCGAAAGGTACTTGGAAGGTTCAAGAGGGACGAATTTGTCAAACATTTGAGGGAGTGGGGTTCGATTCCATCTGGTTGTTTGAAGGAAGTGGAGACGGTTGTTGCAGAGAAAAGCACCCGCAAAGCTCTCGTTGAACGGATAGTACAACTTAGCAACGTAAGTTTCGTGATGACCGTGAACCGGTCCCCGATTGTTTTCGCTCTTTTATCGGCACGGCAATGAACATGCGCAGTGACTTTGGAAAGAATGGTAATCCGATAGAACACCTCTGTATTTTTTTTACGAGTTCTGTTAAAAACTTACCTTGACCTAGCCCCATAAATGTGGCCTATTTACTGGACTGCCTCCGTAAACATAGGCCACACATCCACATGTACAAAAATCGTGTCGACGGAGCCAAATTTTGATTTTCACATTTAGGCTTAGTTTGTAGGTTTTTTTTGCTTTAGAAGCATACTCACCCTCTTTACAGGCTAATCAGAAAGTGCTGCCTTTTTCAGATGTCTAATTTTTGTGAAATTTCATGTTGAAATTTTGATACGCAAACGTGTAAAAATGAATCTGGAGATTTCACGAAAAATATACATCTGAAAAAGGCAGCACTTTCTGATTAGCCTATAAAGAGGGTGAGTATGCTTCTAAAGCAAAAAAACCCTACAAACTAAGCCTAAATGTGAAAATCAAAATTTGGCTCCGTCGACACGATTTTTGTACATGTGGATGTGTGGCCTATGTTTACGGAGGCAGTCCAGTAAATAGGCCACATTTATGGGGCTAACCTTGACCATGTTGACAATGCTTGAGCAGTTGAGTAACTCCACTCTCCAGCTGGTGACTGAAATACTGGACGACCTCCGTATATTCAGTCACAGAGCCATATACGGCCTGTGCGCGGATGGTCCCGTCCCATTGCTAGTACTAGTAGTATAGTAGGGGAGCCGAAAATCAATTAAAGATGGCAGTGGATATTTTGCCGGAGACGGCAAACCTTCAGTAAACGTTAGTTTGCCGGATATGCACTGAACATGCGCAGTTACTGTTTTTTTGTACTTAAACATTTTCCGGTGACAAATTTTAGTCTGGCTCCATGCCAATATTATCGTTGTATTTTTGTATTAACAAGATGGGAATCAGACCATTTTATAATTTCGGACTTTATTTCCCTTTAAAAAAAATCCTCCAGAGCCACAAATCTGAAAAAGAAAAAGTAATACTCTGCAATAAAATGTTTGAGACATATTAAAATAATAAAAGAAGAATATTCTTATTTATTTGGGGATTGGAAAAAAAAAAAATTAAAATTGTGGCGGGGGTCAGGATTCGAATTCGGGACATCCCACTCACTAGAGCTATTGCTTAACCACTGCACCGACTGTGCTACACAAC